TGCTTGTGACCTTACTAATAACCACTAGCTATATTATTTTCTATGTCACTTGTTTCAGAAGATTGTTTCTTACATTACCAAATGTGTGACTGAGCCTGTGATAAAATGCTGAAATGCAATTCCATATGAGATCAATGATTGTAATAAAGTAACTATATATATGGGAAGAAGCAACAAGAGGGAATCTTTTCCTGGACCAAGAAACTAGTAAGACAGGTATGGTCCAGAGACTTTGGCTACTTGCAAGGCCTGGTCTAGTAATAGCACATTGAGTGACCTGTCAATGGAATCTTCGTTAGACCTTGGACTGAGCCTTCCCAGTACTCTGGACACAATGGCCATGAAATGCCCCAAAGCATGGTCAAATATGTGGCTATGAAGGGACCCTGCAGACTAGAAGTTGGCACTTGCCAGCTGCCTCTACAAAGGTTAAATCATGACCACTGCAACCTGCTGACCTTCAACACCCCTTGAAAGGAGTTCAGGGTGGAGGTCAGAAAAAAGGCACTCTGTGCTCTGGGAAAAACCCAGAACAAGCCTTCAGGTAGTCAGATGCTTTGAGGTAAAGATTTTATGAGCCCAAATTCTTGCATCTTCTCATACCTAGAGAAACACTAACATCACCAGCCAGTGTCTAGTCCTGTTTCTCCTGGCTAGCTCCTCAGCAGCTCTTCTACTTCTAGTAATCTTTGGGCCATGTATCTATAACTTTCTTGTGAAGTCTGTTTCTTCTAGAATATAACAAATCTCCAAGTGGTAGTATGATAAGAATATTCCCTGGCCAACACCCAGACAATGCTGAAACAAGCCACCTTATCACCCCATGGACTCTCATCTCCCTCCATAAATCACTCTGACAAAGAGCAGGCAAAGAGAACCCAGAGCCCCCTGATGCCCCTGTACATCCTGAAGAAGCCAGCGAGGTCATCATCCCTTTCCCCTTGAGACTGGGTTCCCAAAGGCCTGAGCAGGGTACCAAAGGGCGCCAAGGAATTGACCCTAAAAATAGAGGGAGGAATATGGTGACCCAAGAATGAAAGAGCAGACAAAACCAAGGAGGGTTTTGGAAGGCAAGAATGGAAAAACCAGACCTTTATCATCCTTCCCTCCCCCATATTGTAACTATTAACAGATTTCAGGTCCTTCTGAGCAATACAACCTGTTTCCCCTCCTACCCCACACAGGGAGACAGTATTTGCCTTACTCTTCCCCCACCCAGTATATGTGCTTCATCCAATCAGCAAATGACCCACAAGACCCCTTTCCTGCTCCTTGTACCCTAGGTATAAAAGCGGACTAAGGATCCCTGTTCAAAGTCGGTTCTCCCTTGAGCTGGCCCGCAGTTCTAATGATCTCTCACTCTAATAAATTTTATTCTCTTCTCATTCTGCCTCATGTCTGGAAATTCTTTTCCAACCCACTCACAGACCACAACAAGAACCTGGAAGAGTAGAGGAAAAATTGTTTTTCTTTCCATACACATGCAGTGGGATACTGCTCAGCAATAGAAAAGAATGAGCCATCAATCAATGGAAATGTTACTGAGTCCAAGCTCACTCTGCTCACCACCCAACAGGCCAGTGAATCTGAGAGATGAGGTATTGAGGCAAAGAAGACTTTAATAGGGGAGTCAGCAGATGGAGAAGATGGCAGGCTAGTGCCTCAGAATAACCATCTTTTTGGGGTCTGGATGTCAGGTTCTTTTATGGATCAGAGAGAAAGAAGCAATGAGGAACTGAAGTCAAAAGGCAGAAGAGAGAGGGAGATTCAGTGGGGAAGTAAAGGTTTTCAGTTTCTCACAAAACATCTCCAAGGGAATGCCCAGCCTTTGGAAAGGGTATGTTAACCTCTTCTATTCACAGGTGGGCAGGGACAAACTATCTCTCCAGGAGCTGAACAAAGGCACTTTAGTTTACAGTCAAGCAGAGGGGCAGGGTCCTCCAGGCAAGCCACTGAGTATGACTGCAATAATAAAAGCAAGTCAAAGAAACAGTTTCCAACATGCAGTCAAGTTTGGCTTTCTCCCTGCAACAAAACTCCATTCCACAATCTTGCAGGAAAAAGTGAGTGAAAATCTTTTTGCTTAGTCAGATGGATCTTTCTGGGAGTATCCACCATCTTTGCCAGTGTTTCAAATGTTGATATTTGTCTTCTTTTTGTTCCTCTTTTGAAAGAGGTCTATTTTATACCTGTAGACTTGGAAATACTAAACTTCAAATCTAGGAGACAAGATCTCAAGTTAAGAAATTTAGCACTTTTCTATGTATGGGAAGATGCAAGTGTCAGGGCTCACTAAAAATTATTTACTTGGCATGAACCTCAGCCATTTGGGGCTTATAATCCTGCATTCTGAACTTCCTCAGGGTTCACCAGAGGGAGTGACTGGAGTGGCTGCAGTCTGATGACTGCCAAGTGGTAGGTATTCCCCTTCCTCAGGGTTCAAAGGCTCACGTTGAAGGGCTATAATCACTGATTCCATTTCTCAGGCATTCCCTTTTCGGTCATGAATGGCCATTATCTGGGAGACATTACAAGATCAACTTTTGTCCCATGATGCTGAGAGGCTCATTCCAGTTCAGTCGAACATTCTTGATATGCCACTCTGGGTGTTAAATTTTGGACCAGACTCCATCAATAATTAAAATTCTCTGGACTCTAACTTCAATTCAGGAGACATTTTCCCTTGTGGCTTCTTCACATACTTACAATCACATTACTGCAATTATTTTATGCTACAAATATGATTTTCTCAAAACATTTAGCCTTAGGAGATTTGCTGGAGGCCTAATTGCACATTAGTTACTGCAAGAGACAGCAATATTATAAATTAAACAGGATATAAGTAATGCAGACAATGACATAGTGCAGCAGGGAGACACAAAACACAGTTTGAAAACAAAGAACAAATTTAAAGAATGATTAATATAACTAGTTGTAATCCAGTTGAAATTTATTTTAGGCTTAGTCAATCCTGACTGATCATGTACAAAACCCTTTTTGGGGTCCATTTTTCACAAACTTTTGAAGACCCTGATGCTGGGAAAGATTGAAGGCAGGAGGAGAAGAGGATGACACAGGATGAGATGGTTGGGCAGCATCACCAACTTGATGGACATGAGTTTGAGTAAGCTCCAGAAGTTGGTGATGGACAGGGAAGCCTGGCATGCAGTAGTCCATGGGGTCACAAAGAGTTAGGTATGACTGAGCAATTGAACTGAACTGAACTAGTCAATCCTGACTGATCATGTACAAAATCCTTTTGGGGGTCCATTTTTTACAAACCTTTCATCACAACTTATCTCAGTGCAATTTTAACTTTCAAGCTGTAGAGTATCTGGAAAAGATTCTTTATATTGAATTGGGCCACCACCTACTTGTGGGTGCATCACTTAGCTTGCTAATATGTTACAAAGAACATATGCTGAGGCTCAAGTTCTAGAGAAAGTCAGATGACTCAACTACTCCACTATCTTGGCTCACATAAGCCACCGTTTTCATATGAAAGTGTTGTAACTGCTTTCATAGCCTTCCTGTGAATCTCTTTGATAGTGAAGCCCTTTCTGTAATAGCATCACAGTACAAAAGAATCTACAAATGACAAAAGACTTAAAAGTCAATGTTAAACAACTGATAAATTGATAAAGACACTTGGACAATACTTATTCCTTAATCACATCAATTCTTCTGCACTGAGCTTTCTTTATAGTCCAACTGTTACATCCATACATGACCACTGGAAAAACCATAGCCTTGACTAGACAGACCTTTGTTGGCAAAGTGATGTCTCTGCTTTTTAATATGTTGTCTAGGTTGGCCATAAATTTTCTTCCAAGAAGCAAGCATCTTTTAATTTCATGCCTGCAGTCACCATTTGTGGTGATTTTGTAGCCCAAGAAAATCAAGTCTCTCACTGTTTCCTTTGTTTCCCCATCTATTTGCCATGATGTGATGGGACCGGATGCCATGATCTTAGTTTTCTGAATGTTGAGTTTTAAGCCAGCTTTTTATCTTTCCTCTTTCACCTTCATCAAGAGGCTATTTAGTTCTTCTTCACTTTCTGCCATGAGGGTGGTGACATCTGCATATCTGAGGTTATTGACATTTCTCCCAGCAATCTTGATTCCAGCTTGGGATTCATTCAGCCCAGCATTTTTCATGATGTACTCTGCATATAAGTTAAATAAGCAGGGTGACAATGTACAGCCTTGACATACTCCTTTCCCTATTTGGAACCTGGGTCTGTTGTTCCATATCTAGTTCTAACTGTTGCTTCTTGACCTACATACAGGTTTCTCTGCATAGAGGAGGAAGGTAAGGTGGTCTGGTACTCCCATCTCTTGAAAATTTTCCACAGTTTTCTGTGATCCACACAGTCAAAGGCTTTAGCGTGGTCAATGAAGCAGAAGTAGCTGTTTTTCTGAAATTCCCTTGCTTTTTCTATGATCTTTTTAGTTAAGCCCTGGGGACATGGTCAAGACTTTCAGTTCTCTGCCCCTTGTATGCTGCCGGACAAATGCTGAATGCTCAACACAGGCTCAGTGAATTAAAGATGAATCAGTACTGATGCTGAGCATGTGTGTGCAGATACTGCTCTGAGGACAGCCCAAGATCCCTTCAGTTCCACCCCTTCACAATTCTAGGGGGCAGGTACTCTTGTCACCTCGGTTTTACAGATGAGGAAACTGAGGTAGAAAAAAAATAAGTCGTTTCCAGGATCCCACATCCGGTAAGTCTCATGATGACACTGGAGCCTAGAAGCCTGACTTTTCCTGTCTGCAGCCTGGAAGGAGAAGGCAGGAGAGCTGGACAAGAAGCACAACCCACCTGTCCTCCCCTGATGCTCTCAGGGAGGCCACCATTCCCAGGGGACCTTGGTGAGTGTGCTGGGTCTGGCCCAAGGCTGCGGAGGGTCGGATTTCAGCCTAGGTCATGTGCTTCAGAGTAGACAGACTGAGGCTCCGGCACATCCCTGCTTCAGCCTCTCTGGTCACCATTCCAGGATGCTGCAGTACGGTCTCTGGATGGCCCTGGCCCCTCTGCTAGCCACCCTCACTGCAGGTGAGTCAAGGTCAGTGACGACTGGGTGCATGCTGTGTGCTGGGACAGAAGCCCACTACGTGCATTCTCTATTAGACCTCCCATCAGCTCTGTGCATGTATATCACTAAAGCCCACTTTTCAGATGGCTCCTGGTCAAGGGTGCGCCATCAGTAAGTGTCAGGTCCAAGCAGGAGCCCAACCCATGGCCTCATCTCTGTTGGTCAGTGCCTGAGGGAAGAGTAGGAGGGGCATATACCACGGGCCCCTGGCCTCTGGGGTCCTCTATCTGCATTCTCTTTGCCCGTGTCTGCAGGCCTTCACTCTCTCCCTAACCCAGGTTCTCAGGGGTCACTGTCTCTGGTCCTCTCCTCCTTCTACTCTGCATCTCCTCTCAGGCTCCAGAATCACATGCAGCCCTGAGGGGCCCCATATGTCCTAACGGGTATCAACTTTTCTCTGTGAATTGTCTGCTTCTCTGGGCCTCATGTGAAACAAGTACTTGCAGTTGGCTTTATCAAAGGAAAATTATCTAATATTCTGTATTCAATTAGCAGTTATGCCTTTTAGGAACACAGAGCTGACAGGTAATAAATTACTAGTAGTAGTACTATGTGCTCATGTTCAGTTGTGCCTGACCCTGTGCAACCCTATGGACTGTAGCCTGCCAGGCTCCTCTGTCCCTGGGATTTCCCGGGCAAGAATACTGGAGTGGGTTGCCATGCCCTCCTCCCTCCAGGGGGGTTCCCAACCAAGAGATCGAACCTGCGTCTCCTGCGTTGCAGGTGGTCTCTTTACCAACTGAGCCACTAGAGATGCCCGTAGTATCTTGTATACATTTATTTAAAATATAAATCTTATAAATAACATTCCATATAGCAATTTATAGACATAAATTTATATATACTTGTTTATTCAATACATGTTATATATTTCATATATGTGTGTGTGTGTGTGTGTATGTATAAGCACCTTTTTCATGTATTGCCCACAATTCTCTGAGGCAGGCATTGTGTCCCAGTAGAACTGAGCTGGGAAGAAGTTGCTCACTGGCAGTGGGTGGAAATGCTGGGGTCTGGGCCAGATCCCGCTACAGCTGGAGCCTCAGGTCCTCCCATAAAGATCTGCCGAGCAGCTTCAAAGGTGAAGCCCAGGCAGGCCTTCTTCTGCCTCAGCCCAGCAGAGACCCTTTGGGGGCCGGGCGGAAGAGGCCCAGGGAGGGGCAGTACTTCACACCTGCTGACCAACAGGGGCACAGACAGAGACTTGCTGACCCCACAGAGGCACAGACACACCGCTGCAGCAGCCCTTTCACCAGGGCTTTGGGGTGGGGGGTGGTTCTGGCTGGCCACGCCAGCTCCCCCCAGTGTAAAATGAGAGGGTCGAGCAGCTGAAATGTCAGCTCGGCTATTCTACGCTACTGACTGCAGATGCTCTGAAAGCCTGGAAATTCTAGCAGGTAAAGGGAACAAAGCCCTGAGCTTCCCCAAGTGTCAGGTTTCTGGGGTCTCAGGAGGCTTCTCAGCCAGCTTGCTGCCCTAAACATAGCCTTTGTGCACGTCTCCTCCTTTGTCTCTTGCCGAATGTGCCCAGAAGAGCCATCATCTACAGCACCAGCCCCTGCGCCCTGTTCTCAGTGCAGTCTGTTATGACAACTGGTCAGTCCTTACAGGCTTTTGCTGGAGGAGCCTCATCACAGGAGCCAGCCCTGCTCAGAGGGGCTGTCACACAGCCCCTCTCTCCTTCGCTCTTCACAGGGACAGCCGCCCTCTCTCCCCACAGCGGGGCCCCGTGCCACCTCCTGGGCCTCATCGTCGCCTGCCCACCAGGATGGCCCTCTGCAGCTAGGAGCTGCCAACAGTGCCCTGCAGGCTTTTAGTAAGAAGCAAATGCCCCAGGAAAGAGGAGGGAAGGGGCAGAAGGGGCGAGCTGCAGGGCCAGGGGCTGGGGGACAAGCAGGTCCTGTCCATGGTGGCCCCAAGTGTGAGGCCTCCCAGGGGTTGAGTGCTGCTTGGTGAGCACAGGAGCTTGGTGGAGGGCCCCCAAGCCTGCCCAGACCACAGTCTTCTGACCACGATTGAATTCAAGGAGGAGGGTGGGTGCCTAGCAGGGCTCTGCTTCTCTATCCTGTGACCTGGCGAGTCTCACCTGGGAGTGAGGCTAGCTGTCAGACCACCTGCTCTCTCCAGGTCTGCCCACAGAAGGTGGGCCAGGCTGCAGCTGAGCTGAGTGTCCCCAAGCCTCCTTGCCACTGCTGCTGCCAGCAAAGCCAGCTGTCCCCTGGCCTGCAGGGTCTCTCCTCAGCTGCTGAACTTCCTTTGGCATTTGCAGCTGCCTGGGGGACAGGATCACTCCATGGCTGTGTCCCACCAGAACCCGTGGTGGGCTCCCAGGACTCCCAGAAAGCAAGGACTGCCAGGTGATGTCCAGTGGGGGCAGCCACTTGTCTCAGCCATTCCGGGGCGGGGGTAGGAGGCATTCAGGAAGTCCCTGAAGAGGCAGAGTTGCTCAGAATCTCCCTGAGACATGGCAAGGTAAGGTGGCAACACTGTCCTTGAGGAGGCGGTGGACAGCGGCCCACACTACTGATCGCAGGTACTCGCCCAGCCAGTGTAGCCTGAAAGCAGGTGTGCCTACTTGCAGGGCTGCGGCAGGGACCCAGGGAGGTGATGCACGTGAGGTGTTGGGAGGTTCAGAGCCGCAGTTCCGTGGGACCTCTGATTAAGGCAGGAGCTACATGGCTGGGGCCTAGACACCCACAACAGACACCGGGTAGCTGAGCTACTCGCTGTGTGTCACCAGGCAGCTCTGTGTGTGGCAAGAGCGAGGAGGGCAAGGAGCAAGTAGGCCTGTCCCCTGGTGACTCAGAGAGAGATGTGAGTCAGGGAGTCTGCAGAAACACTTGGCAAAGTAAGCACCTGAGCTGAGGTGCCAACTGTCAGCACCGTTCAGGTACAGGTGTTAGTCATGACTCACCTGCTCTCACCACGTGTTTCCCTGTTGTCCTGCCCAGCAGGAGGTTGGCTGCATCTTCTGCCCTCTGGACTCCTTCTCTGATACAGGCCGTGGCTGCCAGCCCTGCCCTATAGGTAGGTAAAAGCTGGCCGGAGATCCTAACCGCATTTGGGAAAGACTGGCCCTCGGCGGGTGAGGAGGATGCTGGGTCTGCACACTCCCCCGGAGCCCAGGTGGTCTCAAGCCCATCCCCTCAGGGCTGTGGGGAGAATGCACTGAGATTAGGCAGAGGAATTATGCACAGTGGTGAGGTTTTGTCCCTTCCCAGATGTGTAGTCCTGGCAGAGTCTCACAGTCCTTAGTGTACAGGGTCTGCTCCCAGGACCCCGCACACCATCCCTCGGCCTGGGGATGAAGCCCAGGATGAAGCCCAAACCCTGTCAGGACCCACCCATGAGATGTCCCCTCACAGACGGAGATTTACCCTGTCTGCACGGTGCTGCTGAGCCATACCTGGCCAGGAGCTTCAAGACCAGGAGGGAGACGCCTCATTCCAACACCAGTTTCCACTCAACAGGTCAGATCTGAATTCTGTCCACTGTTTGCACAATGAGGAGGGTGACTTGCTAGTCAGGTGCTTCTCCAAAGGCTTGTGGAGGCTAACTGTTCAGTACTGAGTGTGGCCAGCAGTCCAGCCGCTGGTAAGGGATGACCACAGGAAAGCCACACCCAGGGTACAGCAGGCCCTTTGAGACCCCAGTTATGGGAGCCCCAGGATGCCGTGCTCAGCTGGGAATTCAGGACCTACTTAGTACTCACCAAGCGGCTTCCCTGGTGGCCCAGGGGTAAAGAATCTGCCTGTGATGTAGGAGACCAAGGTTCGATCCCTGGGTCAGGAAGATCTCCTGGAAAAGGGAAAGGCAACCCACTCCAGTATTCTTGCCTGGAGAATCCCACGGACAGAGGACCCTGGAGTTCTTCAGTCCACGGGGTCACAAAAAGTCAGACACGACTGAGTGACCAACACTTTCACTAGCACTTACCAAGGTTTGCCATGTGTCCAGTGCCCTGCAGAGCTCTGTCCATTTGAATAATGCCATATTCAGTCCTCTCGGCCAGGCCGAGTGGAGGTGTGGTTCTGATACTTTCTGATATAGAAAGGAAAACGGAGGCTTAGGGAGTTGGGAGCCTGCCTATCACAGCCATCTATGGGAGGCCAGAGCTCCCTACAGGCTGAGCGGAGCAAGGATGCCCAGCAGTTAGCACCAGCCACTCTCCTCTGCATGGGCAGGTGGGAACAAGTCCCCATGCTGTATCTCCAGGGAAGCCCTTCCTGGTAAACTGGGAAGGGGACCAGCTCCCTGCACCCCCAGGTCCGCAGGAGTATCAGGGGCACCAGGGCCTGGGAGACGGTCATTGCTTCTCCTTTGAAGACAGCATCCCAGGCTCTTCAGAGAGGACTCATGATCTAGGCTGCTCTCTCCACAGTCCTCAGCCAGTGTCTGCAGTGCCCAGCAGGACACTTCTGTCCCAGCGACGCCACACAGCCCATCCCATGCCAGCCGGGCACATTCGGCCCCATCCCAGGCCAGGACAAAGCCACAGCCTGCACTCCGTGCCCCGCAGGCAGGGCCTGTACGCAGGCTGGGCTGACTCAGCCAGACGCAAAGTGCACACCAGGGTAAGGGGCTCCGATTTCTCCACGGCGGGGGCTCAGAATCCTCCTCTTCCACCATCAGAGAATCAGCGCCTCAGGTTCAGGGAGGGCTTCTTCAGGAATTCCCCTCCTTGGTGTCTTAGGAGGGCCCCAGTAGAGCTTAGGGTCACACCAGTCTCCGGTTCCAAGACCTCCTGGAGGAGCCCTGGGGCCTGAGCATGCTCAGGAGCAGCTGGGGAAAAGGAAGCTCAGAGAGGCCAGGTCACCATGCCAAAGCCACACAGCAGGTTGGTGGACACAGTGCGAGTCTCCCCAGGATGGAAGGGCTCTGCCTGCTGGGTACCAGGCTCCGACACCTTGGTTGCCATAGGTATGTGTGCCCTTTGGGCTCCTCGAGCCCCCACACTCCCACACACGCCTGCCCAGCTGGGACCTTCAGCAACCGCAGTGACCTCTCTGACCTGTCCCAGTGTGAGATCTGCCCCTCGGGACTGGCCTGCCCTAGGGGTAAGTGAGGGCAGAGGGGCAGCCTCGCTACCTTCCAGACCTGCCCCTGGGTGAAGAGACAGGGAGCCCAGGGAAACAGACCCCGGCCCACAGCCCCTACTTTCCCCACAAAGAGCATGGTCCACCTCCCAGGTGGGACCATGAAGAAAGTTCTTAGCTCCCAGCCCACTCTCTCAAGGCGGGGGGAGGAAGACAGCCTCTGGGCCACTGCTGACCCTTGCCAGAGGGCTGAGGCCGAAGGGGCTGAGGCCCCTGCAGGCCTAATTCACAACTGTGTTTGCAGGAACCGGGGGTCCAGGCCGGCCCCCCACCCTATGCCCAGCTGGCCATTATTGCCCTTGGGGCACCAAACATCCAACACAGTTCCAGTGTCCCCCGGGTACCTGGAGTAACCGGACCGGACTGACGGCGAGTGAAGAGTGTGCGCCCTGTCCCGGGGGCTGGTTCTGTGTCGGGGGAGCCCAGGTGCCCTCGGGGACATGCAGAGCTGGACACTACTGCCCAGAAGGTGAGCGGGGCAGTGTCTGTCCTAGCAGGGTCAGGGGCCAGAGGTGACGGCTGGGGTGAGACCACGAGCAGCCTTCAGCCCTCCCAGGTCAGGGTTAGGTCTCAGGAAGACTTTCCTGAGAGGAAGGCTGGGACTGGTCAGCCAGCGAGCACCCTGACTGAGGGTTCCCAAGGCGTCTCAGATGACGTGGTCATCTGTGGGAGGGGCTCCTCCACTCCCTGCCCCTCCCCAGGGCCTCCCTTGAGGACCCCCACCCTTGCTGGGAAGAGGTGAGGAGCTGCTGTGATGACAATGTGGCTCTGACCCCTCTCAGCCCCTGCTCTTCTCCCTGACACAGGTACCAAGTGGGGCACCCAGCTCCCCTGCCCAGAGGGCACCTACAGCTCCCAGTCAGGCAACAGCCAGGTGGAGGACTGTCTGCCCTGCCCACCAGGGGCCTTCTGCCCCAGAGGGGCCCCCAAACCTGTGCTCTGCCCAAGGTATGGGAGGCTGGAGGTTGGGGGGGGGGGCTGCTCCTGAAGCTAAGTGACCACATATTACACACTGGAGCCCAGTGCTGCTCCAGGCACCGGGGGGTCTTAGAGAGACCTTCAGGACCCAGCAGCCTTTTTGAGACAAGACACAGAAACAGAATGGGCAGGTCCAGGGTACAGCGCCCAGGGTAATGGGCTGATGTGGGAGCCGCACATCCATGGGCCCAGAGGTGGAAGGAGGGAGGGTGCTTGAGGCTGGAGTCAGTGAGGAGGTGCCTGTCGCACCTTTGGTGGGCACTGCAACTGTGAAGCCACCTCAGAATGACCCAGCCCAAAAACCAAGGGCCTGGAAGCTAACTCCAGCCTGGGTCTCAGCAGAGATTTGGCCCAAGCTCTGGAGTTCTCTGCTAATAGACTCTTTTACCAAGTTGTGCCTTTTATTCCTGTAGTCAAAAAGCAAAACTTAGAATTTTTCTTATTTTAAAAAAAAAGCAATCTATGGTCTTGTAAAAAAGTGAAAACAACATCATCTAAAAATAAATTTCAGAGCAACTATAATTTCAAGGTAAAAAACACAATCATAAGATTACAAAGCAAAATACAAATGGACATTTATAAAATCTGAGAGAATTTGGAAAATCTAAGCACAGCATGAAAGGCAGAAATAATTGAGGAAAAGACTGCAAGATCTGAACACAATGTTTCAAACTTCTATCCTTCAAAGCTGCTCTAAAGGAAGCTAAAAGGCAAACGCCAAAGCAGGGAGATATTTTCAACATGAACAATAGGCTAACCATCCATCTACTTAGTACTTTACTATGTAAAAAGCCATTACAAATCATATAAAATATGACAGAGAGACAGAACCAGCAGAAAAACAGAAGCAAAGGTGAAAGGTGAAAAGTAAAAGTAAAAGAAGCACGACTGACCCATAGCCAGGTTGTAAAATGTCTTGCACCTTACGTTGTTTGGGGTCACATCCGTCCCATCGATGGCCTGGCCCAGGGCCTGAGCCTACCCTTGAGCCCTGCAGCTGGCGTGGGGGCAGTGGGGACCCTGCCTGGGTGTCACAGCTCCTCCCCCAGGAAGGCTCTGGGCCCCACACCCTCAGCTCCACTTCCACTCTAGGGGAACCACCCGCCTGAGTCCTGGTGCGAGGCTGGCTGTGGCCTGTGTGCTGTGCCCAGCTGGCCACCACTGCCCTGAGCTGGGCACCGCCACTCCTCGGCCATGCAGCATGGGCAGTTTCTCGGTAAGTGTTCACTCCAAGGCCCTGGAGTGGAGGAGTCCTAGAGTCAGGGACACAGGGTACAGGCCAGCAGAGCGGAGCCTCCATCCTGGCCCCTCCTCCAGACTCTGGAAACCTATGGACCAAGGAGATACTCAAAGATCACCTCAGTTCTGATGGCGTCCACCCTGCTGTTGGGTCCCCCACGCCCCACCCTCCTCAGAAGGGGAGGCACCCGGAGCCTAGGGCCAAGGCCAGAAGTATCCCCAACCTGATTCAACACGTTTCCTGAGTACCTGCTCTGCCCAGGCCTGACCCTGATGTTGAGGTGTTGAAAGAGATCAGTCGTCTTGCCCATCCCTCTTTCCAGGGTCCAGGTCATCTCTGGTGCCAGGATTGCCCAGGAGGAAAACTCTGCAACCAGACAAAGCTGGCCAGCCCTGCCGCATGTCCACCCGGGCACTATTGCCCAGCCCACGGCTTGCTGTCCATCCCCTGTCCCCAGGTGAGACATTCGATCTGACCTCTGGCCTCTCTGCTTCTGTGTGGAAAAGCTCTGCAGCCATCAGTGTCCCTCCACCAAGGCAGGGCCACACCAGGCCTTCTGCTCCTACCCCCACTCTGACAGGGCTGGGACTCCCGCTTTCCTGCAGCTGGTTTCTAATGATGGCTCTAGACCAGAAAGTCACAAGGGACAATGCGAGCCAGGCCTGTGGGGTGGGAGAGGAGTAGGGACAGGAGGGAGGCGCAGGTGGAACCCCAGCCTCCCGAAGCCCCACTCTCACGTCCCTCCCCCAGACCATGGCTCCCCTCCCCAAGAAGCACACCCCACCTAGCCTCCTAGGTGGCTTCTGTTTGCTTGTCCTGCCTGCTATCAAAATCTGCTCTGCATTCCAGTTACAGATTGTATGCTTTGCAGTCAAACACTTGATCTGCTGAGAAGTAAATCCCACGCTTTCTTATGAGCCTGTTAATCAGGCCTCTCCTGCTCCCCTGCCCATCGGTCCCAGACCCTGCTCTGCTCCCTTCCTGGCGGAGTGACCAACCTGTTCAGGCCTGGAGCCCCACTCTGGCTTCAGGACCTTGACTTCAGCAGCCTTCTCCTTGCCCAGGGCACCTTCCGAGAGGCCCCTGGGGCTGCCCATGTGGAGGACTGCCAGCCATGCCGCCCTGGGGCCTTCTGTGGCAGAGCTGGCTTGGTCGAGCCCCAGGGTCTGTGCCGTCCAGGACATCACTGTGGGCCTGGTTCCAACACCTCTGCCCCGGTGAGTGCAGGCCCCACAGGGCCACCCAAAGGCAAGCCTCCTAACCACCCAGGACTGGGCCAGGGTCAGGGGACACACAGAGGGCAAAGCCTAGTGCCTGCCCTCGAGGGCTCACTGCCTAGTGGGCTGACAGGGTGCCCCCAGCAGGTGGGATGAAACCACTGCAGAGCAGAGCTGGTGGGTGCAGAACCATCACACTTGACCAGCCGAAGTGTGAAAAAACAAAGACAGGGCCAAGGTATCTGCTGACAATCTCCAGCTTCCACCCGAAAAGGAATCAAACACAAACACAACCAGAAAAAAGCACAGCTGGACTGGCAGTAAGGACGGGAAGCAAAGTCCTTTTGTACCACAGGCATCTGCATGAGTGCATGCTCAGTTGCTCATTCGTGTCCGACTCTTTGTGACCCCATGGACTGTAGCCCGCCAGGCTCCTTTGTCCATGGGATTCTCCATGAGTTGCCATTCCCTCCTCCAGGGGATCTTCCCGACCCAGGGACTGAACTCAGGTCTCTTGCTTCTCCTGCATTGGCAGACGGGAGCTTTACCACTAGGGCCACCTGGGAAGTCCCACTGTCTGCATCTACTAATCCCCAAAAGCAAGACCATTACCAGAGGCTCTAGGAAGGCGCTGCTGGAGAACAGCATGCAGTACCGATCAAGAGACCCCAGGCAACTCATCTTCTGATCCAATAATTCAAATGTGGGGAAAAGACTGAAAGGGGAAAAAGTGATTTATGAAAGATGGTCAAATCACAGATTTTAATAGCAAAACCAAAACAATTACAAAGCACTATCAAGGCTCAGTAATAAGAAAATATCTAGTCAGAGATATGGCATATCAACTCAGTGGGATTTTAGGTAACTCTTAATAATGACAAGTAAGTATACTACGTTGATACATAAATGATTGAGAGATGATTGATAGATAGAAACAGATACTCCTTACACAATTGAAGCTGTGTATGAATACTTTTAGCAAACAGAGAGCGGGATGGTTTGGGCTATTTAATACTAAAGTTTACTTTATTTTCTGCAAAGTTAACCTCCCAGAGCTGTTCCCAGGGGAGGTGTGAGTGAGGGTCAGCACATGTGCACAAACAGGAGTGGCCAGGTGGAGCCGGGCAGGCTTCCTCAGAGAGGGGTCAGGCGGGACCAGGAGGGAATCTGGCAGAGACAACCTTCTCGTCCTTGACGTTAAGCCTTGACAGTCCCCTATTCCTCCAGGAGGGACTCCCCTTCGGTGACCTCTGCCCCCCTGGCCATTTTTGCCCAGCTGGCACCGAGAACCCCAGACAGAGGCCCTGCCCTGTGGGAACCTGGAACGCAGAGAGAGGGGCACCGGATGTAAGCTGGTGCCTGCCCTGCCCACCTGGGCTCTTCTGTGCTGAAGCGGGGCAGGCTGCCCCCAGGGGCCCATGTGCATCAGGTGAGGGAGACTTTGACCGCTGGCGGGAAGGCACCAAGCAGAGGGGGGCCGGCCAGCCACCCTGGTCCTGGCAGATAGAATCCAGGGAAATATGCCGTGTGGCTGGGTTTGTGCAAACAGGAGCCACACTGGAGCACAGGACCCTCGGGGACACAAATGCAAGGAACTGGGCTACAGCCCCCAAAGTAGACCGGCCTGAGCACTTTCTCTGCCTCCAGGATTTTACTGTCCAGGAGGGGCACAGACCCCAAGACCTCTTAGTAGGCCTTGGGGAAACCTCGGCATGGAGGACCACGTCTGCCCTGAAGGCTCGCTGGTGACCATGCCCTGGATGGACGGGCAGCACAGCAATGGCTCAGGTACTTGGCGCAGAGAGCAGAGCAGGGTTGCTGTGAAAACCACTACAGCATGGGGTGGATAGGGCCACAGGGCTACCAGAGCACTCTGCTTTCCAGACCAAGAGAGCCACCAAGAGAGGATCTGTCCACCTGGTCATTACTGCCCCCAGGGCATTCACTGCCTACCCCTGGCCTGCCCTCCAGGCATGTCCAGTTCAGGGCAGGGACAGAGCCAGCCTCAAGGCTGCTGGCAATATCCTGCAGGTGAGGTGATAGATGGGAGCGGATGGGCACTCCTGGGAACACAGTCAAGGTTGTGTCCTGAGGCCTGAGGGGCGGCAGTTCCCTGGGAGCCTATTCTCCCCACTGGCCCAGGGCCTGGGGGGCCCAATGAAAGGTGGGGAAGGAAAGGGCCTTGGGCCTTGGGCAGAACCCAGTGCACAGCTCCTTCTTGTGGGAAGTCATGCTAATTCTGACGGAGATGTGTAATGCTGAGGTGAAAATGCAACGAGGCAGAACAGAGGAAGGCATTGAGGAAGGACTCAGCCTGACTGAGGCTAAGACGGGGCCACAACGCAGGACGTGCACTCAGTGACCCGTCACCAGCCAGAAGGGAGAGGGGCTCTGGCCTCCTGCAGGGCGCACCAAGCAGCAGCTCCATCCAGCTGCATCCTTGGAGGTGGGGGCACTGCACCCGCCCACAGCTGAGCTCGCTCCCAGGTCAGCCTCAGCTGAGCAAGGGGGCGACACAAGGTCAGGAGTCACAGGACCTCTGGCTGGAGGAACCTCAGGGGACAGGACCACCGGTGCAGGTTCTCCGTGGTGAGGGCTGACCCGGAGCCCACACGTGTAAGACAAACACCAGTCTTGTATGACAAACACCGCCTCACAGGCACGTCCTCCAGGGTGAGGTCGGGGCCCAAGGCTGGTAAAACCAGCCCCTGACCTCAGGCCGCTCTTGTTCCAAGATGGCTCACCCTCTCCTTGTCTCCTCAGCACCCCTGGTGCTGTGGAGGTGGCGTTCACTGTGAGGCCACAGTCTTAGAGGCGTGTCCCTCGGGCCTCTTCCGGCACCCTCAGCCTGTGTCAGAGTGCGGCATGCAGGCATGGGGGGCATCACAGGTTTCCTGCCCCACACAGGCATGCAGATATATGCACATTCAGGCTTCCACAAACCCCCAGCCTTGAGAGCACTCACAAAAGGGGAGTCACACATCATTTCCTTTTCTCTTCCCAAAACAATACAAAGGTCCTCAGAGTTTGGCATCAGTATAATCAGGTGCCCTGACTCATCCTCTAAAGGCTTGAGCAAACCAAAAGGGGACATAAAGGTGCAAATGGAACAAAAGACTTGGCCAAGATGAAAACAGATTTCCAGAATACCCAGAGGCCTGCATTTTGCCACACAGAGCCCCCACCCCCTTCTGTTCTGTGCCCACATTTCTCCTTAATGGGGCAGATGCTGGCATCCCGACATTTCCTCCCCACCTTCTAGCTCCTAAGCAGGGTGCCACCCAGACAGCCCATAATTTAGGAGACACATCTCAGGACCCCATCTGACCCTGTACCACCTGACATCCCCACAGAAATCAGGACTGGACAGGACCCTTGGAGTCAAGGGGCTGTGACAGGAAATGGCCCGCTGCAGAGTGTATACCTGGTGGGGACAGGTTGAGCGACCGGCTCTGGGCTAGGGAGGCTGCTCTGTGATCTCACCCACCCCTGGCTTTGGGCAGGAGCTGAAGCTGTTGGAGGTGCCTGTGCCACAGCAGGGGGCCCCTGCCCTCCAGGCTACTTCTGTCCAGTGGGAACGGGGGTGCCCCTTCCCTGCCCTAAGGGCACCTACTCAGATCGGTGAGTGGCCCCAACCATGGCAGTGGGTCCAGAACTGTCTTCTCCCTGATCCTCCTTCCTGCACTGACATCTCACCAACAACATGCCTCTGCCTCAGAGGGTCACGCATGGGCCATAGGGAGCAGGATTCCCATCCAGGCTGTGGGGCAGACACCCCGTGCCTAGCAGTAGAAAGAGGGGAGAGAGCTGCCCAGGATGTCCACTGCTGGGAGCTTGAGATCATGCCGTGCCAAGAAAGAAAAGCATCAAGAACATGGCTTGTTCACCTGTGTCTCATCTGAGAGCAGAGGCCTGTGTCCCCACCTTCAGAGACCTCCCAGCCCCAGGAAAGGATGCCCCAGAGCAAGGGGATAGCATTGGAGCCAGGGCTGAAGGGCTTCTGGCCATTCTGGATAGCTCCAGACCCAGGGGTCCAGACTCAGGCAGCCTGAGTCTGATTTGAGGATTAAGATAGAAAAGGACCCCTCCACCCAGGCAGCTATCTTGAGAGAGAGAGAAGCCAGCCTTTCCTTCAGCATCTACAGAACACTGCCCTGGGTACCCTGAACGCAGGAGGAATCCCAGGGGGATGACAAGAAGGGAAATGTAGAGGCAGCTCTGCCCCCTGAGAGCCCATCCCCCATCCACTCCTTGTTGCCCAGGACCCTCCCTGCCTGGCTCCAGCCCGGCTTCCAGGTCTCTGTCTCTCCAGGATGCTTCTTTCCGTGGCCTCCGAGTGCTCGTCCTGCCCCTCTGGCCATTTCTGCGGTGCGTCTGGCCTCACTGCCCCCTCGGGACCCTGCTCCCCAGGCTACTTCTGTCTGGCAGGAGTTACCTCCCCAAACCCAACAGGTAAGTGCCTCTCAGGACAGGGGTGGTCCCTGCACCAGCCACAGGCAGGTGGGCAGTCTAATGATGGGATGTGACTGGATGCGGGCAGTTTGAGGACAGAGGCCGTGTGTGAGCAGGGTAGGCCTGACCGCTACTCCCGGGCCTGCTGGCCTCCTGTCCCCGGCCTCTGTCCAGCAGTGTCTCACAGCGTGCTCACTGCCCTCCTGCACTGCAGTCATGGGATTCTGGTCACCCTGCACCCCCAAGCCCACCCTAGACCCACCCCACCTCCTGAATCAAAGCCCCAGTGGTCTAAAGCTGGGAATGTCGCAGAATTGCAAGGATGAAAGGCAGGGAGGGCCGAAGGCTTCCAGAGACCAGGCAGTGGGTGTGAGAAATGCCCTGTGGGCCACCCAGAGGTGAGCTGGCTTGCCAGTGGTGTGGCTCTCGTCTCCATCCCATGGGAGAGCACCTAGTAGCGTGTGGGGTACAAGACCCCCTGCCTGCAGTGGGATGCAGGCATATTTAAGAAAATAATCAGAGAGCCTCTAAGGGCGCTCCAGGGAGCGTGAGAGGACAAGGCTTTGCGTCTGGAAGACTGGTATACTGTCTCAGGCCAGCATCCCATGACACTGCAGCCTCACCCCTACTCCTCTACCACAGCTTAGCCTGTGTGTAAAGGACTTGCTTTTTGATCTGTCAGTGCTGTGCAGATGCTAGCCAAGGGCATTATCTCTTTATAAAACCACTGAGCCTCTGACCCAAACCCAGGTCCACATTTTATCCCGGTGGCACCACACCAGTTGTCCAGCTCTGCTGTGACTGGACCTGCTGACCTCAGCCAACCTCCTTCTTCTCCCCAGGCCACTCGGAGCAGGGGGGTCCCTGTCCCCAAGGCCATTTCTGCCCCCAGGGGACCAGCCTCCCCCAGCCTTGCCCTGCCGGCTCCTACAACAACCTGACAGGCCAAGCCTCCTGCTTCCCCTGCCCTGCCGGCTACTACTGCCCTGAGACCCTCACGACCTATAGTGGGCACCCCTGTCCGGCTGGCTTCTACTGCCCCTGGGGTGAGTGCCTGGGCCCCGCTCAGCTGGGGGGAGTCGGCGGGTGTTGGTTCTCACTGCGCTGGAAACTGCAGCAACTTCACAGCCCAGAAGTCCTCTACATCCAAGACTTAGTCCTCTATGTCCATTATATATCCATGTAGACTGAAAAATAAAGATATTAGGTAGCAGTGTGTTACAAACTTGGGGGTGCCCATGCCCTTCAGCACAGCTGACCACCTGGAGGAGGAGTCCTGAGTATTCTGTGGCTTTGTGGGCCCCAGGGCCAGGGCCACACAGCCAGGGAGTCTGGTGGAAGTGGTGGGTGAGGAGGGGCTCCTATGGGGATGGGCCCTGCAGGAGGGTGGCACTGCCTCCTGCCCCAGCCCAGGGCAGGGCTGGACTCCCAGGCTGGACCCAAACTTCTGAACTTTGCTTTTCAGGCACCAAGTATGCCACCCAGTTCCCCTGCCCTCGGGGCTACTATAACCCAGACCCACTGACCCAGAGCCTGGACAGCTGCCTACCCTGCCCTCCTGGCCACTACTGTGGACAGGAGAATCTGACGCAGGTCTCCGGGCCCTGCGAGGCAGGTGTGTTTCCCGCAGCACACGGAGACGTCCCCACTGACCCCTGTGGTTCCCACTTCTGTCCCTGGACCTGGGGTGACCCAGTCACCCCCTGGCACAGCTTCAGGGATGGGGTGCCTTTGACCTCCGGGTCACTGCCTGCCCTCCTGCTGGCTCCCACTTCAGGCTGGTTCTGTGTGTCGGCAGCATGGACGGCCCGCCCCTTCGACCTGGACAACTACACCAGCACCAACTGCCTGTGCCCAGCCACGGCCACGGGGGGCAGGTGCCCAGCCGGCTCCTTCTGCCCTGAGGGCAGCCCTGAGCCCATGCCCTGCCCCCCAGGGTCTTTCTGTGCCACCTCTGGTAAGGACTGAGCCCTGTCCAGCCATCGTGCAGTGACCCGGGCTCATCGGGCAGTGCGGTGAGAGAGTTGGGGGATACTTGACCGGTCTCATTAACTACGCCTCGCTCACGCCACCACCAGTTTCCTCGGACAACTGCAGATTCGGTCTGCACCTGCCTCATGGGGCGCTGTGCCTGGTGCTCTTAGGGGCAGGGCTGTGTTGCCGTCCAGGTGATCCATTGAGCTCAGGTAGATCACGTGGAAGAGTGTGGGGAGGAGGCATAGTGCCTGAGCACCTACAGAGGCTGGACACCCCGCTCACTGAGGACCCAGACATGAATTGGAATCTACCTGTCTGGTTCTCAGTCCCCCTTGAACTGGAGAGGGCAGTGAGGGCAGGACCCCAGCCAGAGTCCCCTCTGGTGGTGGACTCAGGCCTCAGGCGACACGGGAGTGGTACCCGAGTCTCAGGGCCAGGAGGAGGGGAGGATGGGACTGGCTGCTCAGCACAGGCTGGGCCTCTGGACTCTGGCATGCTAAGACCTTCAGCCCAGAGGCACCTAGTTCACTGAGGTCGGACACTGCTCAAGGCCCCCAGTGCCCGGCAGGACCAACCACTTCTCACAGTGCGTCTGTTTTCCACCAGGCCTCTCCATGCCCAGTGGACCCTGCCAGGCCGGCTACTTCTGTGCAGGAGGAGCAGCATCCCCAGCCCCAGAGGATGGGCTGACGGGGGCCCCTTGCCCCGCAGGAACCTTCTGCCGTGAGTGTCTTAGCCCTACTTGCCCTCCTGCCCTAGGTCTGCTGACACCGCGGTCTTGGGTTTGCATTAGGACCCTGAGGCAGGCGGGAAAAGCCAGAGGGAAAATGGGTGCCCAGGCTGTCTAGCCTGAGGCCGAGAAGTGTTGTGGGGGCATGGTAAAATACACCTGGGTGCTGGTGTGGTTTGGGTTATTCTGTGTTGATGGCTGAGGATCGACGGCTGCTGCCTTGCCGCACCAGAAGCTTCATTTTCTCTCGGTATGTCTCCCTTGCTCCTGAACCCCAGCCACATGTAAAGATCTGGGGTTCTCCCCATGTATCATGCTGAGGGGGTGGGGGATGGGGCCTCAGGGAGATTGGGAAGAGGTAGCTCCAGAGGGGAGCCTCATCTCTGAGGCTCAGTCCACACCTGCTGTGCGTGGACCGGCACCCCCCTGTACCCTCAGCTGAGGCATCACCCAGGCCCACGCCATGTCCTGCCGGCACCTTCTCCAGCCTCCCGGAGCAGACCACATCCTCTGCATGCCAGGCCTGCCCACCTGGCTTCTATTGCAAGGAGGCCGGACTCCAGGCCCCCAGTGGGCAGTGCCCAGCAGGTGAGAGAGGCAGTGAAGACCTGGGGTGCCAGGAGAGGGGAGGAAGCCCGGAGCGAGAGCCAAGGAGGGCAGCTCTCTGGGCACTGGGCCCTTGTACTGGAGATCCTGCCTGGACTAAACATCTCAGGGGAAGTCCTGAGAGCTCATCGCTCCTGGCCAGGTTACTACTGCGACTCCAGTGCTGGGCCTGTTCAGGACTTCAGCCTGCACCCTTGTCCTGAAGGCTATTACTGCCCCCCGGGCACATTCATAGCCACACAGCACAGCTGCCCAGTGGGCACTTACGGCCCTCGGAAGGGTCTGAGGAGCATCACTGAATGCCAGCCATGCCCTGCTGGGAAGTTCTGCGCACTGGCGGGACTCATGGCTCCATCAGGTGTGTTCTAGGGGCAGAGGAGACCATGGGCAGTGGAGGCTATGGGCAGTGGTGGGAGGAACAGTGGGTTGCGGCCAGGCTGAGGAGGAGATGCTTCCGGAGAAGCTCCATGGAGCTGGATCCCTGGCCAACACGGGGTCAGAGCAGCATGGGCTGACTGGGCCAAAGAGAGGTCTTTATTCCCACTGCCTGCTCAAGACCCCTCAGGCCAGAAAGACGGAGCCCCCACAGCCCACCTCAGGAAATCTCGGGGCTGGGCCCAGGCATCTAGCTTAGAGACTTCTCCAGGAGATCCTGGGGCGCTCCCATTTCTGCCTGTGGCCTGTGTTCCCCCCAGCCCCATTCTCAGCTCTGCCAGCCGAGCACCAGGCTGGGTTCTTCCAGAGGGTCTCCAGTGTCTGCCCCACCCCGCAGCCCTGCCCCTGTTAGCTGGTTTGGGGGAGTGGAAAAATGAGGTGTCACTTTCTTAGAGAGTTCGGGTAGCTCCTGTACAAAATGACTGGAAATAATCCACAAGGAAAATCTAGGCCTGGCTGTTGACTGTCCCTGTGGGGGACAGGCCCCACACCTGCTCTAACCCAGGAGCTCGACACTGGACAGGGGAGGGCCAAGGATTCCCACCGTCTGCAGCCACCATAGGGTTGGCTGGGTATGGGGAAAGCCTCGTGCTGCAAGGGGCAGGCACAGCCGACAAGACATCCTCTCTCTAGGAGACTGTGCTGCAGGGCACTGGTGCATGGGAGGAGCCACGAGCAAAGACCCCACCCACGGGGCACGGGGCCTCCTCTGTCCAGCTGGGCACTACTGCCTCCAGGGTATCTACCACCCCCGGGCCACACCAGCCACGGCAGGGCAAGGCCATTCTCTCCCAGTCCTCTGCTGGTGGGAAGAGGGTCTCCACGTGCTCAACCCTGCTTCCAGCCCAGGCCACAGGGTCCCCAGATGAAGGGCAGAGCTGAGCCACGAGGGCCAAGCACAGACCTATCTCCCCCAGAGGCCCCTCTCTGCTCAACAGCCCTCACCTTCCCCCTCCCCAAGACCCCTCCTCCAGCCTGAGCTCAGAAACTTCACAGTGTAGCTGACCTTCCTGCCTCACCTCTGTGTCTTGGTTACTCCCCACCAAGGATGCTCCTTTAAGCCTGGGGCTGCTCCCCACTTTGGTCCCCACTTGCAGGATGACAGATGAAGCTGGCCCAGAGGCTCCAGAGCAAAGCTGGTCCCTGCCCTCTGGAAGCTGAGAAGGGGCAGCAAATTCACCGGGTCTTACTGCCCACAGCCCTCTCCCCTCTCCTCTCTCTCTCTGACTCCTGCAGGCGCTCCTGTCCCGGCCCGATGCCCACCAGGTACTTGGTCTGAGGAAGGGAACAGAACCCCAGGAGGGTGTCAGGATTGCTCCGGAGAGCGACTCTGCCCTCGCAGCCACCCTCCGATCTGGCCAGCCTCCTGCCACCCAGGGTGGGCAAACAGTTTATATCCTCTGACAGCAAGTGGGTTGTTGGCTCTAGTCCAGGGTTTCTTGTCCGAGAACAAGAGGAAGAAATTCCTACTAGTAGGGAACAGTCACTCCCACCGCCCTGTGGGGCCTGCGGCCACTTATAGACAAGCAAAGGGTGCCGTGTGCTGGGACTCAACTACTCTGCTCACAAGGTCACTGGAAGGACATCAGGGTGGACTTGTAGCAGCAAGTCTCATCTCTGCCATCACCGCCCCCTCCCTCCCCTGGCAGAACCAGGCTGCCCATCCTTGGGACCAGGCTGGGGGGAGGGGTCAGTGAGGCAGGAGGTTCCAGGAGTGAGCGGAGTGGGAAGAGACTCAGGCCCACACTCGAGGTCCGTCTGCTGCCCATATGTGCAAGCTCTTCAGCAACTCTCCTCTGCTAAGGCCCTTTTTTAAAATTGGAATATAGTTGCTCTACAGTGTTATGTAGTTTCTGCTGTACAATGAAGTGAATCAGCTATATTTATACTGAATCAGCTAAGTCCCTGCACCATTCGGCCGATTCCCACCAGCTCTCTGTTTTACACACGGCTATTTTGCTCACCCCTCATTTTCCCAGCATGTCCTGCACTGGAGGAACTGTCCCCGTCACCCCCATGGACGGACTTTCTGGGAGGTCATGCTCCCAAGGGCACCTCTGCCCTGTAGGATTGACTGAAGCTGCTCCGTGTCCTCCTGGCTTCTATGCCTCTGGCACCCACCCCACAAAATGTCACATCTGTCCCAGCGGCCACTACTGTGCTCCCAGGCTGAGGCCACAGCTGTGTCCTAGAGGTCAGTGTCCTGCCAGCAGCCCAGCTGACTGAGCAAAGGGTCCAGAGTGAAAGGGAGGAGTGTTGGGCAGCCACCACAGGGATGTCATCGCCTCCAGCTCCCCCAGATGAAGGGAGGGCTGTCTATTCTGATTACAAGGTGACAGGAGCTGGCCCCCCACCCAGCCTCCCCCGGGCATCCTCCCTGCCCGCCTCCTTGGGCCTTGGCCCCAGCCCTGCCCCTTCACAGGTTTCTACTGCCCTGAAGGAACAGAACTCAGCTGGCAGCCCTGCCCCGCGGGCACCTACGGCCCTGTGCCTGGCCTGAGCAGCCTGCAGGCTTGTCGAGCCTGTGACGGAGGCAGGTTTTGCCCCAGGGCCAACGCCACGGAGGCTGGCGGGCAGTGCTGGGAGGGCTTCTTCTGCTCCAGAGGGTCCACCCGGCCCAACCCAGAGGCCGGCACTGAAGGTAACTGCCCCCCCCCACCCCCACCCCCCCCCCCCCCCCCGCTGGACGCTGAGCTCCACTGCATTTCCCGGGCCTCAACTGGGAGGCCAGAGACAGATGCAAGGCCCTCCGTTCACTGACCGGTCACCCAGACAGGCTCATGTGTCTGTTCTCTCCAGGAACCTGGTTGCTGACCATGTTCCATTGCTCTGGCTCAGGGTTGGCAGAGCCTATGGTAACAGTGAACTGAGCCCTGGCATTTGTCCCTTCCACCCACTGTCCATCTTGTTGGGACTCCCAGGGACCCCCATATCCCACACTGGCCAGGCCAGGGGCAAGAACCAGGGCAGACCTAAGGAAGCTTGCTTTAAAGGTAGCATATGAATCACCTGGTGCTTACTGTGGGGTCAGGGAGGGACAGGCCATCAAACCAGAGTGTCTGGGGTGGGGGCCAGGCCAGGCACGGTCAATTTTATAATCTTCCTAAGGGGTTCTCATGAGCAGCCAAGAGGTCATTCGGTGTTTTGAGTCTCTGGGGGGTCAAATGTCCTGTGGAGAATGACAGAGTCTATGGACACACATCCAGGGAAAACACAGATAGCTTCACCATGTCTCACAGAGCTCCCAGTGCTCTGTGTCCAGGGTCTGAAGGACAGAGGCCTGGGATCCAGTCCAACCCTGGCCTCAGGAGAAGGGAAGGGGTCTGCTTCGCCTTAGATCACACAGTCAGTAGCCCACCTGGGCACCCACTGACCCACTGGTCCAGCTTCCAGCCGCTCTGCACTACCCCAGGAGCCCAGGACCACACCACCCTGGAGAGGCCCGGGTGCCAGCTCCAACAACCCAGTCTGCTCATTGGTAGCCACCTGGGCCAGCTACCCACCCCCACCCCCAGCAACCCTAGTGGCAGGCGTCTCGGAACCTGGCCCATAGGAAGCCAGGGGAGGAGGGAAGACACGGCTGAGCGACTCCAGAAACGGGAGAACACCACCGCACTTGCCAGTGCAGGGAGGCCTACAAAGGCTTCTGCAGCGAGAGTGAAGTGGGTGGTGCTCCAGGGGCCTCTCCTCAGTCCCAGACTGACCGTCCCCTACACTTGAGCCTTCCAAGAAGGCCCGCCTCCCTCAGGGGCCCCTTGCCAACCTCACCAGCCGTGACAAGTATCCTCGGGCCTCTTCCCCTTGGTACCAGCAGTACGGGCAGTGGTGGACGGGCAGGTGTCAAGGTGTGGCCACAGGAGGGCCCTCCCCGATGTGCCTCCCAGAGTGCCCACCCCAGAACCACCCCCAAGCCCCCTGGGCCCAGAGCCTGCACCAGGGATGCAGGCACAGCTGCTCCAGTACCCATGTCTCACCGCGTCCTTCTCAGTGACCCTGTTAACTTATCTCTTGGTTCCAGAAAGGGCCGGCCCTTGTCCTCCGGGACACTACTGCCCTAGGGGCTCGGCCATGCCCCAGCCCTGCCCACCTGGCACCTTCAGCCCACACAGCAAGCTCAGCTCAGAGGTAGGAGACCCTGGCCCAGGGAAAAGTCCGGGTGTGAGGAGAGCCTGTTTGGTCTAGCCTCTGAGATCCAAGGTTGTCGCACAGCCTCACAGGCACATCTCTTGCAGGCTGCTTGCTCCCCTTGCCCACCTGGCTACTACTGCAGCTCTCCCGGCCTCGCCAGCCCTTCTGGGCCCTGCAGCCCAGGCTTCTTCTGCCTCACTGGGGCCCTCGTCCCCAATGGCTCCCTGGGAGACCAAACCAGCGGCCCTTGCCCTGCAGGTACCCCCAGGGCTGGCCTGAGGAGGAGCCAGGGAAGGTGGGGAAGGAGCAGGCTCCAAGGTGGCCCCCAGTCAGGGCTGAGGGTCCCCCAGACCCTCCAGGAACTGGGTTTAGGATGGAGCTGCTCTGAGCACCGGGGAGTGGGCCTGCCTTGGCCCTGACTGTCCCGTCTGCTTCCCTTCCAGGACACTTCTGCCCCCTGGGCACTGCAGCCCCCAGGCCCTGCCCAGCAGGCACCCACAATGGCCAGGCTGCCCAGGACCATTGTGAGCCTTGTCCTGAGGGGTAAGTGCCCCAGACATCCCCCTCCCCAGACCCAGGGCAGCGAGCAGGCCCCTTTCAACATCACAGAACTTCCACTTTTTCTTCTCCCCATCTTTTTCTCCTGGCATCACCAGGTCATTCTTCCTTTCAAACCTGGGCCTCTCTGGCTGTAATTTAAGTCACTTAAGCTCCACTCAAAGCCCCCCGCTTGCCCCGTGCGCTGCTGAGAGCTGTGTCCCCATGCAGGGACACCCCCTGCAGCCATGGAAGGAAAGCAAGCCCAGGCGCCCTCTCCTCCCCACGCTGAGTCACGGGCCACACAGGTCTCTGACCTCTGCTTTGTCCCTGTAGCTTCTTCTGCCCGGCCAACACCTCCTCTGTGCTGGAGAACCAGTGTCCTGCCGGCCACTACTGTCCTGCCTCCACCGCTTTTGCTTCCCAGTTCCCCTGCCCCCGGGGCACCTACAGGCCACAGAGAGGGGGCACCCAGTGGTCAGACTGCAGCCCCTGTGAGCCAGGTACGGGGGCAGGGAGCCACGTTAGGCCACTTCCTCCCTGGCCAGCAGAGGGGGGCACTCAGGCCTGTCCCATGTGGGGATGCTCTGGCCATGGCCCACAGTGTACATTAGAGCCACCTACCTCTACTGCATGGGTGTGGGGCCCCCATCGCACTGCCCCCAGCATCCAGGGGTCCCCTCTTTCCCTCTGCCTTACAGGCTCCTACTGTCCCCTGCCTGGCCTGGCAGCCGCGTCTGGACCTTGCAGTGCAGGGTTCTACTGCACTCAGGGAGCATCTGTCCCAAATCCCAGCAATGGGACCACAGGAGACCTCTGTCCTCTGGGCCACTTCTGCCCCCAGGGCAGCCCCAGGCCCACTCCGTGCCCCCCAGGTGAGTCACTGGTGGATGAACACCAGCAGTGAGGGGTCTGCTCTGGGCCCAGGAGGGGAGCGGAGTGAAGACCAGCCTTGGGGAGGCCTCGGGGAGGGCATGGAAGATGTCCCAGGTGGCACTTAAAGAGCATCGTCCGGGGCTCTGGATCCGCATACCTGGGGCTTGTGTGTGGAGAGACTTACAGCCCAGGTCCAGGCTCTGAGGGAGGCCTGAACAGGGAGGTTGATGACAGAGGCGCGGTGAGAGTGCGTGGTGCCGGCAGGGGAGGTGGATGATGAGACACAGAGGTGCAGCGCAGCAAGCACTGGTCTGGGAGGTCGAGTGGGCAGAGCAGGGCACAGCCCTGTAATCTGAGACAGGCCAGCGCTAGTGTTCCTCCTGGAGGCCCCCTGGTGGTGGCCATAGCGTTGGACCTGCAGGCTTTCTCCTGCCCGTCCCTGGGGCCACGTCGTGGAAGGACTGCCAGCCATGCCCAGCCGGTTGGCTCTGCTCCCGGGCTGGCCTGAGTTCCCCGGACACTCCGTGCGAAGGAGGTTGGTTCTGCCCCGGGTCCTCCGTCTCTGGGCACAGTCCAGGTAAGCTTGGGAAAGGGGTGCCGTGGGGTGCCCAGGGCCAGCCTGCAGGGGAGACAAGGCCTGTGGGCTCTCCCTCCAGGTAAGGGGGGGCCACTGTTCACAGCTTGGGAAGGGGGTGCCGTGGGGTCCCCCATGGGCGGGCCTTGAGGGGAGACGAGGCCTGTGGGCTCTCCCCTTGCACTCGGGTTCCCATAGCCCAGCAGTAGGGAGGTGGCCCTTGTGACCTGGAGCCCTGTGACCTGTGGACACCTGGGGACACCGTGCACCAGAGAGCCTCCCCATGCGCCCAAGCTCAGGAAAGGGGTAGGACCCACCTGCATACTGCTTGGTGGTGACCTCCATTCTTAGGCAGTCTCCCCACCAGCATGGGGAGGACAGCCCATGTGCAAGGCATGGCCCGAGAGCAACAGCATGGGAGGGCGCTCCTGACCAAGGGTAAGGCTCCTCTGACACTGCAGTTCTCAGGAGGCACCTCCCCCCTCGACTGTCCCTGTCTGGAAGCTCTGGCATAAAGGCAGTCTCACTTCCAGAACGTGGATGCAGAGCACAGGCTTCCAGCCCCACCCCACTTCCCCTCCCCACAGTTTGGCTCCCAAATGAGCTTCACTGCAACTGGCATCTCATGCCCTCACCAGTCGAGGGTCCTCAGGAAACCTACTCTGTGAGCCCAGGTGGGCTTCCTACTGCTCGCCAGTGCTCATGTTCTGAGAGCACAGGGGTCTCCCAGGGGCTTAGTCCACATGGCAGTTCCCACAAGAAGCTACGGTTTCAGGGACACCTCATAGGACTAGGACTGGGGAGCTCCTCTCGTGAGAAGTAAGTGCAGCCCAAGACTGCCCTGCATGCCCGGCTCCAGCCCAGCCTGGAGCATTTGTCCTGCACCTGCTCAGGCAGGCCACCGCAGGCCTGACTCCTGCCCCACGCCGCCCCTCCACGCAGGGGACCACCCCCTTCAGGCTCTTGGGGAACTGAGCTGTGAGGGTCCCGGGCCCCATAGATCACACGCCCGCCTCTGCCTCACTGACCGGAGAGAGTCAGCAAAGGCTGCTCTGGGCTCTGACCAGAAGAAGATGGGGGCTCTTCCAAGAAGAAGTAACTGTCTCCCCCATCTTTTCCAGGTATTCTCTGCCCTGCTGGGCACTCGTGCCCCCCAGGCAGCCTGGAGCCCCAGCTTTGCCCCCCGGGGCAATATCAGGATGAGCCTGGACAGAGTCTCTGCAAGACCTGCCCTGCTGGAAAGTGAGGCGCTGGGCTGGGCTGGGCTCCTCCTCTATCCAGGTGATTCCTGACTTCTCCTGCCCCTACGCCCCCTAGGAGCCAGAGGAGCCCCCACATGTTGCAGGGACCGGTGGCCACGGGCTCTCCGGGCCCCCGTCACCCTGTGAAATCGAGCATAATGGACACTAACACCAGTGCAGGGGCGTGGAGGGCTGCAGGCTTCAAACAAGACTCTGAGAGAGGAGGACATTTTTACCTCAGTGCCCATCTCCTCTGAACTCACAACTGCTTCTGCCCAAACCCTCCACGTCCCGGAAGCTCTGGGCGAGCCACCTTCCTAGAAAGTCTGGGGCTATAGACGTCCTTGTTCCTTTGTTCTTGACCACCTCATGTCTACAGGTTCTGTCCCTATGGGATCCAAGCTCCAGGAGCCATATCCCTTTGGCCAGTGGACTGTCCAGCTGGCTACTACTGCCCTTTGGGCACCCAGAGCCCCACCCAGCACCCTTGTCCCAGGGGCACCTTCAGGGAGAGGCCCGGCGCACGCAGCACTCAGGACTGCAGGCCCTGCCCTGCTGGACAGTTCTGCTCGGACTCAGGTGATGAGTGCCATCTCCCGGGGACTTTGAGGGTCCTAAACGGTTCCATTTCCCCCAGAGACACAGCCTGCCTGAGGTCAGACACCCTCTCATATCACTATGACCTGCAGCCCCCACAAGGGACTCTGCTGGAGGCCTGGGCATGAGGATGGGAAGGGAAGGCAAAAGTGACTTGCCCCGACCCCTGGAAGTTCACAGAGGGGAGGGTGATACACTGAAACAGAGGCACAGCCCAGCCCAGGCAGACCCGGACTCCTGCAGTGTCCTTGGGAGGGGCCGTGGGGTAAGCACTGGCTCTGAAGGTCACTAGCCTTGCTCAGGGAGCAGCTAGGGGCAGAGCTTCAGGAGAACACCCCAGGATTGAGCCCCAGGATGAGAGGGTGAGCACAGCTGTACCCATGTTGGAGAGAGGAAGTGTGAGTATTTGTCAGTGATAGCATCTAGTCCGTTTATACATAAACCACCCAGAAGACACAGGTGAGCAGGAAGTAGAGTAGTGTGTGAGGCTGGGAGAAGAAGGGCAGAGTGTGTTCCCCAAGATGGTCCCCAGGCCCCCGATGGGCTGCATGAGAGCATTTGGGGAAAGGCCAGGGTGTGAGGTATGGGCCCACCAGCCTCGGGCTCTGCCCACTGAAGCCTGGCCTGTGTCCTGGGCCCCACTCTCACCTTGGCTCTGCATGACCATATGGGACCTTTGGCTCATTCATGCTCACAGCAGGGTTATTCACTGTGAGGTTACTCGCTCACAGACTGAAGTGCCAGAGAGGTCTGAAGTGCCAGAGAGGCAGCAACCACAGAGCAAGTCTGGCTCCAGGCCTGACACCTCAATCACCAGCCTCCCCCTCCTCTTCCCCTTCTCACCTGAAGCCAAGCCCCACTCTCCACCCTCTCTCCACAGGGGCTGGGAAACGTTACCCAGACGGGCCATGCTCAGCAGGTTACTACTGTCCCCCTGGCCAGACCTCAGCCACCCCTTCATCTTTCCGGTGCCCACCCGGCTTCTCCTGTCCAGAAGGTTCTCCCCAGCCTAAGGCCTGTGAGAATGGAACATTCCAGCCCCGGGAGGCCCAGGGGTCCTGTGAGCCCTGCCCAGCTGGGTTCTACTGCCAGGCCTCGGGCACAGGTGAGCTCCCCAGAGTGAGCTCGAGTTCCCCACGGGGCACTGGCCCCAAAGCAACGTGCCAGAGACAGGATCACTGAGCTCTCCGTGGGCCCCTCGGGGGCCTGGATCCACCAGCCTCATTACAGAGGGGAAGGCCTTGCCATGGGTGGGGCAGGGGGAATGAGGGGCATGAGCGCTGGTGCCCTCCCCTGTATGTGCACCTCAGGAATTCTTAGGAGAGGATCTTGGTTGTCACTGTCGTAGGGTTATGACTCATGTGCAGCCCTTGACAATCAAAAGCAGGGTGAAGGAAGGGGCCCTTGAAAGAGGCAGGTTTGAGGGGAGGGCTTGTTTGCTCTTAAACCAGGATGGGATGTTGCATGGGGGCCCCCAAGATGCCCAGGGCCCAGCCCAGAACAGCAGGCACAAGGCTCAGGACAGGACAGTCTGAAATCAGGGACACTAGAGTGTCATGGACCCACTCGGTTTCCCCAGGATGTACCTACACACCCGAGGTCAGGATGTGCCTTCAGTTCAGTTCAGTCGCTCAGTCGTGTCCAACTCTGTGACCCCATGGACTGCAGCACACCCGGCTTCCCTGTCCATCACCAACACCCAGAGCTTGCTCAAGCTCAAGTCCATCGAGTCAGTGATGCCATCCTACCATCTCATCCTCTGTTGTCCACTTCTCCTCCTGCCTTCAATCTTTCCCAGCATCAGGGTCTTTTACAATGAATCAGTTCTTCAAATCAAGTGGCCAAAGTCCTGGAGCTTCAGCTCCAGCATCAGTCCTTCCAGTGAATATTCAGGACTGTTTTCCTTTAGGATTGACTGGTTGGATCTCCTTGCAGTCCAGAGGACTCTCAAGAGTCTTCTCCAACAGCACAGTTCAAAAGCATCAATTCTTTGGCGCTCAGCTCTCTTTATGGTCCAACTCTCACGTCCATACATGACTACTAGAAAAAGCATAGCTTTGACTAGATGGACCTTTGTTGGCAAAGTAATGTCTCTGCTTTTTAATATGCTGTCTAGGTTGGTTATAGCTTTTCTTCCAAGGAGCAAGTGTCTTTTAATTTCATAACTGCAGTCAACATCTGTGGTGATTTTGGAGCCTAAGAAAATAGTCTGTCACTGTTTCCATTGTTTCCCCATCTGTTTGCCATGAAGTGATGGGACTGGATGCCATGATCTTTGTTTTTTGAATGTTGAGTTTAAGCCAATTTTTTCACTCTCCTCTTTCACTTTCATCAAAAGACTCTTTAGATCCTTTTCACTTTCTACATAAAGGTGGTATCATCTGCATATCTGAGGTTATTGAAATTTCTCCTGGCAATCTTGATTCTAGCTTGTGCTTCATACAGCCCGGCATTTCGCATGATGTACTCTGCAAATAAGTTAAATAAGTAGGGTGACAATATACAGTCATGATGTACTGCTTTCCCAATTTGGAACCAGTCTATTTTTCCATGTCTGGTTCTAACTGTTGCTTCTTGACCTGCATACAGATTTCTCAGGAGGCAGGTGAGGGGGTCTGGTATTCCCATCTCTTGAAGAATTTTCCAGTTTGTTGTGATCCACACAGTCAAAGGTTTTGGCATAGTCAATAAAGCAGAGGTAGATGTTTTTCTGGAACTCTCTTGCTTTGTCTATGATCCAACAGAGGTTCGCAATTTGATCTCTGGTTCCTCTGCCTTTTCTAAATCCAACTTGAACATCTGGAAGTTCATAGTTCACGTACTGTTGGAGTCTCACTTGGAGAATTTTGAGCATTACTTTGCTAGCATGTGAGGTGAGTGCAATTGTGTGGCAGTCTGAACATTCTTTGGTATTACCTTTCTTTGTGATTGAAATGAAAATTTCTTTGGAATGAAAACTGACCTTTTCCAGTCCTATGTCCCCTGCTGAGTGTTCCAAATTTGCTGGCATATTGAGTGCAGCACTTTCACAGCATCATCTTTTAGTATTTGAAGTAGCTCAGCTGGAATTCCATCACCTCCACTAGCTTTGTTCATAATGATGCTTCCTAAGGCCCACTTGACTTCACACTCCAGGATGTTTGGCTCTAGGTGAGTGATCACGCCATCGTGGTTATCTAGGTCATGAAGATCTTTTTTGTATAGTTCTTCTGTGTATTCTTGCCACCTCTTCTTAATATCTTCTGCTTCTGTTAGGTCCATATCATTTTTGTCCTTTATTGTACCCATCTTTGCATGAAATGTTCCCTTGGTATCTCTGACTTTCTTGAAGAGATCTCCAGTCTTTCCCATTCTATTGTTTTCCTCTATTTCTTTGCATTGATCACTGAGGAAGGCGTTCTTATTTCTCCTTGCTATTCTTTGGAACTCTGCATTCAGATGGGTATATCTTTCCTTTTCTCCTTTGCCTTTAGCTTCTCTTCTTTTCTCAGCTATTTGTAAGGCCTCCTCAGACAGTTATCTTGCCTTTTGGCATTTCTTTTTCTTGGGGATGGTCTTGATCACTGCCTCCTGTACAATGTCACAAACTTTCATCCATAGTTCATCAGGCACTCTATCAGATCTAATCCCTTGAATCTATTTGTCCTTTCCACTGTATAATCATAAGGGATTTGATTTAGGTCATACCTGAGGTCTAGTGGTTTTCCCTACTTTCTTCAAAAAGACTAAATTTAGCAATAAGGAGTTCATGATCTGAGCCACAGGTAGCTCCCAGTCTTGTTTTTGCTGACTGTATAGAGCTTCTCCATCTTTGGCTGCTAAGAATATAATCAGTCTGATTTCAGTATTGACCATCTGGTGATGTCCATGTGTACAATTATCTCTTGTGTTGCTGGGAGAGGGTGTTTGCTATGACGTGGCCTTGGCCATCTCTAAATGCAGGCAGATACAGGGAGGCCTGAGCAGGGGGTCTCTAGGCCACTGAGGGAACCCAGGGTGTGGCCTCAGTGTGACCAGTGTGGGCAACGCCATGTCCTAGACAAAGGGAGCTTTATGCTTGACAGCCAGAGTCACAGAGACTGAGGTCTCAGGGGCCACAAAGGTTTTCTGATGACACACCTGCTACCACGGCAGCCTGCCAGCCACCAAGGGGCCCCTGCCAGCCAACATGCCCCAAATCGGACTAAGAATAAAGTGCTGTGCCTGGGTCAAGGCAGATTCAGGACCTGCCTGCAGATTTAGGTCCCAAGTCTCCCACCCAGGCTGCTCAGGGGGGACGCGGGTCGCCCACAATCTTAGGGTGACCCTGCTGTTCCCCCCAGGTCCTGCTGCCAGAGCCCCCAGACCATGCATCCAGGGTTACTTCTGCCCCCCCGGCTCCCACTCAGCCACTGCCCACCCATGCCCTAGAGGGACCTTTGGGCCCAGGCAAGGGGCCACTGCAGAGCTGGACTGTGAGCTGTGCCCAGCAGGTTGGTGAACTCTGGACAGGAGCCCTCAGGAAGCCTGGCTGAGAGGCTGGGAGAGAACAGGAAGAGTAGAAAAGGCAGCAGGAAGTTCCTGAGAGTGAGGGCCTGGCCCCTGGCCGTTGACAGGGCAGCACTTCGAAAGTCCAGGTCCACCCGTGGGCCTTGACATGCCACCCCTCAGGGGCCCACAGCTCCCACCCTGGGTTCCCAGGGCCTCCTCTTGCCCCTCCACGTCCACCTCTAGTGCTCAGAACAAGATGAATCCCAACTTCCCGCCAGAGGCCTGATGTGGAGAGAGAGGACAGCTCTCCCTCCCGAGTGCCTGTGAAGGTCTATGGCAGGTCAGGGGGTCAGGAGGTTCAGAGAGGTCAGGAGGGTCAAGGGGAGTCAGGGGAGTCAGGGGATTGGGAGGAAGGTTGGGTCAGGGGGTCAAGGAGAGCCAGGGGGTCAGGGGGTCAGGGGGTCAGGGGGCACAGCCCAGGAGGGCACAGCAGCTGCTGGAGCAGAGAGAGGGAGGAGGGAAGCCCACTGACACTGCCCTTGGGTCTACTCCTTCTAGGGATGTTCTGCTCCTCGGAAGGACTGTCTCAGCCGTCAGGGCTCTGCCACCCCACTCACTACTGCTCAGGGGGTGCGGTGTCCCCCACTCCCATCCAGCACAAGGTACCTGACCGGGCGCAGCCCCCAGACGGGTTCTGACTCACCTGTAACACCTGTACATGTTGGTCCACAGAGCCAGCCAGCTCCTGATGAGCTGACAGCTCTCCCTGCAGGGCTGAAGTACCTGCGAGCCGGGCCCTCCTCACCAAGTGTCCCCAGGGCTTGGCTCAGGGCCTGCGGCTTAGTTGAGTGATTCTAAGACATGTGTCTTCTTCACCACTCACCATCTGTAAACCAGCAGCATTTATAATCCTTGGCATTTGGCAGTCATAATGGCAGTGAAACTTTTCTTTCAAATCGCTCACTTCCCAGCAGATGGCATCTTTTTCGTTTGAGACATGTGGCAATATCAGCAGGTCACATGTGCAGGGCCTTTACATGTGCTGGCTGGCAGCACCCATGAGTTACACACACGTTGACACAGCAGGCCTCACAGGGGCCCTGAGGGAGGCCCCAGGGTGACCCCGTTTAGACAGGAAGAAGCTGAAGAACACATGGGGTAGTGGGCTTTCTCAAGGCCACATGGCAACAAAGCAACCGTCACTGTGTTGCATTATTCTGCAGAGCAGGGCAGTGGAGAGGCTGTTGGTGGGTGGGTGCACAGACCCATTTAGGCAGACAGATGGACAGATGGGCTTGGTTGACTGGCTTTGATTCTCATTTTGTTACTGACTGGCTGCATGACCCTAGACACACATGCCCCTTTAGAACACAGACATCCCCTTCTTGAAGTCACTGAGTCCATATGAAGGCCAGAGAAGAGAGCAGGCTGGGACAGAAAGGGAGGAGGGGAGGCCCTGCAGCAACACTGTGATGTCCTCCATGTTCCCCAAAGGTCATAGCCGTTAAGGTAGAAAGCGCCTGTCACCGGGGAGATTTGAGACTCTTACAGCCTCTTGTCAGCTTCTCCCCCAGGAGCAGAGGAGTCTGCAGCTGGGACCACAGCCGGTCCTGACACCCTTTCTTCTCTCTGGATGCACAGGTGGAGGCCCCCGGCCTCTCTGGGAATGACATCTGCCCCCCTGGCTTCTTCTGCCCCCGTGGAACAGGCTTCCCAGTCCCCTGCTCACCGGGGTTTTACTCCTCGGCCCCAGGCCTAGCCAGTGAGCAGCAGTGCCAGCCATGCCCTCCAGGGCACTACTGCAGCCGCCCAGGGCTGTCCCACATCCTGGAGGCAGGGGTCTGTGATGCGGGGTGAGTGGTGGCCTGCATGGGGAAGAGGGGCCCAGCGAGGTGTTCCAGGGGCCCCAGTTCACAGACTAACCCTAAATTCCCATGGTCCCTCTCAGCCCCGCTGAAGAGCCCAGGTCGAGGTGACCAACTCCCCCAGGAACTCATGCCCCCAGTGTTCCATCCCTCAGATACGGGGCTGAACTGCACACACCCCATGGGCCCTCCCAGCACCGACCTCCCAGGGTCTAAGGAGCTCTGGTGTCCTCATACCCTCTGCAGTCGGGCCAGATCTTGGTTTTTATTCCATCAGCCAGCACCCTCTGCCAACAGGTGTCTGAGATTCCTGGCAGGTGCATCCCCCTCGTCATCCAAAGGGCGGGAGACTGGCCACAGCCACCAGTGAGCTCCACCTCTGGCCCAGCCAGAATGCCAAGGTCGTCCTGGAGGAAGTTCACTATGGTCCCCCATTTTCTCAGGTACATCTGCCTGGGGGGCAGTGTCGTCCCCTCTCCCTCTGACGGAGCCCATGGATACAGATGCCCCCCCGGTTTCCGCTGCCCCGCAGGGGCCCACAGCAAGCTGCCCTGTGAGCCTGGCACCTTCAGCCCGTTGCCTGGCTCTGACACCTGCCTGCCCTGCCCGGGAGGTACCTACTGCCAGAAGGCTGCCACCGTGGAGCCCGTCACCTGCCCCAAGGGTAACAAATGCCCCAGGCCAGCCTCTGGGGACAGAGGGACGTTGGGCATGACCCCAGTGGATGGTGCCCCTGAGGGTTCAGTGCAGGCGGGACCACCATCTCCCTCAGCTTTGCTCTGTCCTGGGACTCCCCAGTCAACAGCAAGACCGCAGTCCCTCCCAGCAACCAGCAGCCCGCCTGTGAAGTGGGGCTACCCATGCTAAGGTGGGGGGGAGGGCCAGCACCCCACCCACTGCCATGCCTTCCTGCTCAGAAGGCAGTTTCCAGTGGGGGCCCCAGAGGTGACAGAGGGGAGAGCCCAGGCCTGCCTGAGGGCAGATGTCTGGTCAGTCCTTGCGCTAACCTAAGTGCTGCTGACCTGGGGCAGCCAGCTGTCTGCAAAATGAGACCAGATGGCCCGGGAGAATTCTGCCTGTGGTGGGGAGCTGACTCGCTCTCAGCAAATACCCCCAGAGAAGACTGCCCTGTGTCCAGGTGGCCAGGCTGCCTGTCGTGGGTACAGCCATTTCTCCAGAAGAGACCTGGGGGCTTACACGACCTGCTTTCTCCCAGACAACACTCTGCTCCTCTCTCACCCGTGACCATACACGTCTACGTCTCCGTAAATAATGACCCCAGAGACAGTGCTGCTGCCTCTGTGTGCACACACACACACACCACACACACTCACACACACAAGGGCACACACACATGCACACAGGCACACACACATACACACACACACACACAAGGGTACATACATGCACACCTACACACACAAGGGCACACTCACACGCGCACACACACCATACACACACAGGCACACACAGGCATACATACGCACACAAGGGTACATACATGCATACCTACACACACAAGGGCACAAATACAGGCGCACACATACAAGGGCACATACATGCACACCTACACACACAAGGGCACACAGGCACACACACACGCATACAGGTGCACACACAGGTGTGCACACACACAAAGGCACACCCCGGACAGACCTCCAACAGCACTCCCATCCCCTGCCTGAATTCCAAGCCTGCTGGCCTCTTCCACCCACTGGGCCAGTCACCCCACCCCCGCCCTCTGGCTGTGTGCTCTGTCGGAATGAGGGAAGTCTCTGAGCCAGACACTGAGAGCTTCCTGCTCTGGCCTCCCCACAGGTCACTACTGCCCAGCAGGGACGCCCTCTCCTCATCCCTGCCCAGAGGGGACCCTGAATCCACGGGAAGGTGCTCTCTCCTCCAGGGCCTGCCAGCCCTGCCCTGCAGGGACATACTGCCCTGGGGAAGGCAATGGGCAGCCTGAGGGTAGGTACCAGCAGCCCCTCACAGCCTCCCCAGGATGTGCCTTGGCAGGGCCACGGCGGAGGTCAGGAACTGGCTTCAGTGCAGCCCCCTGCACCTCCTTTCTTGAACCCTGTTGCTTCCTCCTTCCTTGAGGGGCCTCAAGGCTGGGAGCAATGAGGTGCTCAGTGCAGGGGTGACCTGGATGAGTCACTTGACCTCACGGGCCTCAGTCTCCGACCCTTTAAAATGGGGTTAAGAGCATCCCACAGCCCATGGCGGCTGTGGAGAGTGGTGTCCTTACAAACCCAAGCTTAGCGCCAGCTGTAATCTCTGCTGCCCCACCCCCCAGGCTCCGTGTGGAAGTCATTCCTATTTCCTGACCTTCTCCTGCCTCCAGGGTTGGGGGCTGCAGGCAGGGATGGGGAAGGGCTGGGACACGGGTTTGCAGTACCGTTGGCTACCCTGAAAGCCTTCACCTCTCTGCCCAAGGACCTTGCTCAGCTGGTTACTACTGCGAGGGGGGCGCCTCTAGCTCCACTCCCTGGAGAAACGCTGCCTTCCCCCTCAATGGGCCTTGCCCTAGAGGCCACTACTGCCCACAGGGGACCCTGCATCCTGTTCCCTGCCCTGAGGGGAGGACAAGGAGCAGCCCAGGTGAGCCTCTGACCCGTGCCTCCCACCCCCAGCCATGGGACCCTCCCTCTTCAACTCCCACACAGTCCCACAGGGCCACGCCCACGGCACAGCAGGAGCGTCTGTCAGTCTGGCTCCTTGGGGCTCCCTGGGTGGACACGAGTCCAGGCCAAACACCAAGGACAGGCTTGCCCAATGCAAGGCTCTGCTTGTAGAATACCAGCGGTGCCCTGGTGGAGACCCTGGCCATGCCTTTTCACTGACACTCATGGTGCTGGCCTGGTGCTGGCCTGGCAGACAGCAGTGGGCCTGGCAGGGACCCTGTGCAGGGCTGACTCTCCAGTGTGTGGACCTCTCTCTCCAGGTGGCGTTTCTGAGGAGAGTTGCAGGCCCTGCCCAGCTGGCTCCTTCTGCCCAAGCCTGGGCCTTGACTCTGCCCCTGGCTCCTGTGTGGCCAGCTCTGAATGCCCCTTGGACGCCAGGGCCCCTAGTCCCACCACTCTGCTCTGCCCGCAGGTACCTCCCTGGGCGCAGCAGGAGGGGACCCAGGCACCCCCAAGGCCAGGTCTCAGGCAGGGGCTCTCAGGGCCTCATAGGTGGGGCTGCAGCTCCGTCTCCCAGACCCCACTCTGCTCCCCAGCCACCCCGTCCAGCCTCCTGTTCTCCTGCACTCCAGGCACCAGGGCCTAAACCAAGAAGGAAAGACAAGGCACTGCCCCTCCCGAGCCAGGGCCCCTGACTACACCGAGCCTGGCCCTCAGAGGTCTGCTCTCCATCCAATGCCCAGGGCCACTCCTGCCCACCCGGGGCTGCTCGGCCTGCCCTGTGCCGTCCTGGAGAGTACCAGCCCTCCCCGGGCTCAGATGCCTGCCTCCAGTGTCCACCTGGCTTTTACTGCCCGCATCCTGGAACCAGAGCGCCCCAGCTCTGCCCAGCCCACGCCTACTGCCCAGCCGGTATGCCCAGCAGCCCCCAGTTCCCATGCCTCCCAGGCTCTCTTCTTTCCCAGTAACTCCCCCATCCTACCCCCTTCCTTCATTTCATTCATTCATTCGTTCACAATCCATAGAGGGCCTACTGTGCGTGGGGCACCAAGCTTGCACTAGGAAGGCCAGTGTGCAGAGCTGACTCACAGCCTCCATCCTCCCTCCACTCAACCCCACACCTCACTCTCCCCCTACCCTCTTGTTTCTCTTCCCTCCCTCTATTGACTCACCCACACCCCGTGCCCACCTCCTCCCTGCACCCACTCTGGGGGCCCCAGAGAGCACCTGGACCACAGATGGTGGCAGACTGCTGTTATCGGCTGTGCTAGTCTGGGGCAATAGTCTGGGGTGGCCTCCTGAGCTCTGCCTGGAGAGGGGCCCTGCGGTGACGTCAGGGTTCTGGGGACGTGACAGACGAGACATAGCAACTGCACTTGCTTGCCCAGAACACACTGTGCAGGAGCCCACACTTGCACCAGCATGTCCACACACAAGCACCTGTACACATGTATTCTCACACACTCTCATGGTGCACACACACACACTTACAGATGCACAAACATGCACACACAGTACATGTGCACACACAAACACATGCAGCCCATGCACAGCCCAGCACACAGGCAGGTGTCCACAAAAGTCCATAAGCTTTGTCATGTCTTAGGTAAACGTGGGAGGAAATTCTCCTGCCCATTTTAGGGTGGTAAGCACGTTACGTTTACAAGTGTTTGATCTGCAAGTGATGTGTACATTTGTCTTTCCTGTGCCCATGGTGTGAAAGTTATACCCCTTTTAAATGACCAACCTCCTAGCCCAGAATATTTAGGACATCCCAAATTCAAATAATGTGGCCTGTTTTCCCATGATTGCATGTCGTACTCATCACACACACACACACGATACACACACACACCCCACACACACAGTACACACACACCACACACACAGTATACACAACACAGTACACACACACCACACACAGTACACTCACACACAGTACACATATAGTGTACACACACACCACACACACAATATACACAACACAGTACACACACACCACACACAGTACACACACACGCAGTACACATATAGTGTACACACACCACACACACAGTACACGTATAGTACACACACACACAGTACACACACGCCACACACAGTACACACACACATAGTACACATATAGTGTACGCACACACACCACACACACAGTACACATACAGTACACACACACACCACACACCACACATATTACACATACAGTACGCGCACACACACAGAGTACACACACAGTACACATACAGTACACTACACACACACACCCCTTGGGGGAGATGGCTCTCCTGGACCACCCAGACCCCCACCCAGACCATCAGCACCCCCTTACTGAGGTGCTGATGCTCTTACTCTTAACGTCCCCCCAGACTAAACCTGCACCTTTCAGCTTCTTACTCCCACTCCAATTGCTCCCTCTAAACCTTTTCCTCTGTCAGGGAATTTATTTCCATTCAGGGCATGTGCACTAGTATCTGCCAGCCAAGCCTACATGCACAAGGAAACACTGAGGCCAGCAAAGCCAGAGGGCACCCCCCAGGACAAAGGCCAAGGCTGTTATGGGGTTGGGAGTGCTGCGTCATGGAGGATGGAACAGCCACAGGAGTGCTGCCCAGGCAGAGGGCCTAGGAGGGAGGAAGTGGGAAGGGAGGCGGCTCCTGCTCAGACCCGGCAGGGGGGTGAGGGGGATGAGGGGCTGGGGGGGTAGCCCAAGGACTCTGATGCATGCTTGGAGGCCGCCAGACAGCCAGACAGCCCCTCCCCCCAAAACCACTCCAAGGCTCCTTGAAAACCCTCCATGGGAGTTCCTTTTGTAAAGAGACAGTGACCCCAGGGGGCGGGACTGAGGGCACCACTGTCACCACTCCATCGGCTCCGAGCAAGCCGCCTGAGAAACCCGGTGCCCTCAGGGCAGCAGGCACTGATGGGTGGGGGGCCTGGGACAGAGATGCCTTTGTGAGCCCACCCTTCCGGGCAGGTCCAAGGCACAGATGGGGCCCAGGCCGTCCACTGGCCACCTTTACCAGCTGCTCCCCCTCTCCAGGAACATGGTCCCCACCTCCATGTCCACCAGGGACCTTCACGCCCAAGGACATGCCAGGCCTCCGGGAAGAGGGTGACTGCTCTGTCTGTCCCCCTGGTCACTACTGCAGGTGAGTAACAGTCCAGTCATTCAACCCCTGCCACTGCCATCGAAGTGCACCCTCAGGATGAAGAGGCCCAGGGTCCCTTAGCCTGTCACAGAGTCTCCAAACTGTGGAGGCCAGGGCAGCCAGTAAGACCACTGGCTGCATAGCCTGAACAGGAAGGGGAAGCCTGACAAGTGCGTAAAGACAGTTAGAAATCCAGGACAATTAGTACAGACCTAAATTTTAAAATAAATGATATACATTCAAACTGAATAAGAAGTGATATGAAATGAAAATAGCTCTGCTCAGTTCCAGCCTAAAAACAGGGAAGCTCCTCACAGGTAACACCTTTCGTACCTCTGGACGATACCAGCGTCCTGTGCAGACTCCCAGCATCCCACACAGACGCTAGCGGGAAGGTTGCAATTCTTCCTGTGCCTCTCCTTCCGAGTTTTCTGTAGCTTGAGGAGCTTGGGCTAGAGAGAGAATCTGCATCTTCTTTAAACAGAATGACAAATGAGCAAGTGGCCCAAATTCCACCTGATACCCGACACCTGCTCTCTGTGGGAGACACATGCAAGGTTTCACCCGTCTGCAGGGTGGAGCAGCAGGAATCAGGGCAAGAACGCTGCACCCCTGGTTCAGAGACACACAACCTCCAGGGGATTCCCTCTCTTCCAGCATCTCCCGAGACCTTAGTAGCAAGCCCGGCTGCTCAGAGCAGCCAGACAAAGCAAAAGCACGCTGGCAGTCTGGTCAGGAAGAGTTCCCACACTTACTCAAAGCAGCTCTGGAGGCTGGGAACAGTGTCGTCAGAGGATGTTCTGCTGGAAGTAGAACCTGCTTCCCAGTGGAGTGTCTTTTGCCTGTGAGGAGACAGCCGAGGCTCCTGAGCCTCTCCATCTAGGGGTTCCTCTCCCATCTCGGGAAAAGAAGTCCAGTTTTAGGTCTAGCCTGCCTTCTGCCACTGCTGAGCTGGAAGCCAGACTGGGGCTCGATCCTGGGCCTAGGGGACCCTGAGCACACGTGGGGACAGTATCTGCTGTCCCCAGCCTCTCACGCCACAAGTGCCACAGGGTCCCCAGCTTGTCCTGGAGGGCTTGCCCTGCTCTTATCCCCTGGGCTTGCTCACAAGCTCCGTGAGCAAGCTTGCATATGGAGAGAAGATACCCAGACACCCAGCTTCTCTGGAAGGTGGCGGGGCGGGGTTCCAGGTGTGAGCTCACACCCAGGGGCTCACTTTTTCTGTCACATGCTTGGATATAGTCACACGTGCTCCTGGGATAGAGTTCAAAGATCTCTCACACACACCGTGGGTCACAGTGAGAATGCCCAAAGCCAGGGTGGGCTTCCCCCACCCTGGGGCACTGGGCTCAGGAGGGCCACTCCATCCTGGTCTCACACCCTCCCCTCTCTCTGGCTGGTAGAAATGGACAGGTGAGGGGGAAGTGTCCTGCCGGTTATTTCTGCCCACCTGGGACCTCTGCAGTGACAACACCAGGCCCCAGGGAGCCCCAGCACCCATGTTCCCAGGGACAGCTGTGTGCCAAGCAGTGCCCACAAGGTAACACCTCCCTTTGCCTGCCCCTGGGGGTGTGAAAGAGGCAGAGAGAAGGCTGTCCAGCCCTCACTGCATGGCCCACCCTAGCAGAGAAGCTTTTCCATGTGTCACAAACAGACTCTAAAAATAGTCGACCCTGGTTTTTGTACATCTAATGTGTACATGATACACGTATGTGTAATTGCATATACCACATGTATGTAATATCCTATATAGTACACACCCAATGTAATCCAGATGGTCACTGATTTGACAAACACAGAAGCTAGGGGAACCAGGACTGGCATTCAGACCTCGCATCTCCTGGGCAACAGAGTCCCCAAGCCTCTGCTCCAAACACAGGCTACCGCCATCCCAGTGCTATGCCCCACCTGCCATGGGCCAGAGTCTCCCTGCATTGTGGGACCCAGCACCATCCATGTGCTTCAGGCTTTTACTGCCCGGAGGGCAGTGGAGAACCCGCCCCGTGCCCACCTCACACTGTGACAGTCGCCCCTGGAGCCAAGGAGCAAGAAGACTGTGGGCCTTGCCCTGCCGGGCATTGGTGCAAAGCGGGTGAGGCATCTGTGACCCTGGAGGGCGCAGCTCCTGAGAAGGGCTGGGGAGCAGGGAGCATGAGCCCTGAACTTGCTTCCAGGGGCCTCGGCCATCCAGCCCTGCCCAGCTGGCCACTACTGCCCCGGAGGCAGTAACACCCACCCAGGAGCCCCTCAGGCCTGCCCGGAGCACACCTACCTGGCAGTAGAAGGGGCCCAGAGTTTGGCAGAGTGCCTCCCCTGCCCAGCCAGCTACCACTGCCTCTCCCCAGGTAAGAGGCCATCCCCAGACTGGATGCTGAAGCCTCTGGGGAGGAGAGTCAAGAGGCACTGGGGGGCAGCTTCCTTGCCTTCTGCCTTTGCCCCAGGTCTCTCTTCCGTCAAAGACTACCCATGTCCTCCAGGCCACTGGTGTCCAGGTGGTCAGGGTGCCCTTCTCTGCCCACCTGGAACGTTTCGGACAGAGCCAGGGGCATCATCCCGGGACGATTGTGAACTCTGCCCCCCTGGCCACTACTGCCCAGAGGCTGAGCAGAGCGGCCGCGCAAATGTGTTTGCAACCCCCTGCAGAGCTGGAACTGAGTGCCCTGCAGGTGAGACTGCAGTGCTTCATCCCTCCCAGTCCCTGCCCCCAACCCTGCACCCCAGGAGTCACACAAGAGGCCCAGGGAACATCACACAGGCACTGCATGGCCACCTGCTGGCCCTAGAAAACCATCGGCCTGGTCCCTCAGTGTCCACCCAATCTTTGGTTGGTTCCATGCATTTGGATCCCCCCAAGGCCAAGGGCCCTCAGCCTGTTTCTGTCTCCCTCAGGTGCTGTGGCCGAGGTCACCTGCAGGGCTGGCTCCTACTGCGGGCCCCAGACTGGGGTCCCCCCGCTCTGCCCTGGGGGCTATGCCTGCCCAGCTGGCTCCTCAACCTATGCTGGCCCAGGTCAGCTGTGAGTACCCCAACCCCACCGTGTGAGTCTGAGGCTCCCCAACATGTCTCAGCCTCTGGGCTCTCCAACAGGGGTCAACGCCCTCAGGTTCCCAAAGGATTCAGGCCAAACAGCGGGGCTCAGTGACAAGCACCGGGGGCCCTCTGCTTGTCTTCTAAGCCTCTGTCCCAGGGAAGGAGGGCGAGGAAGCAAACTGCACTGAGATGCCCTTCATCGGGGTCTAAGGTCATCCTGTAGGGCAGCCAGGTTTAAGTAAATAAATTAAAATGCAGGAAACCCAGTTACATTTGAATTTCAGGTAAACCAAGTAAATTGCTCATGTAACTATGGCCCATGCAATGCTTGAGAGCATTTATACTGTTTATCTGAAATTCAAGTGTGACTGCACACTTTGTGTTTCACCTAGCACCCCCACTCCTATGTTCCGGACTGACTCCCCCAGCTGCCCCACCAGTCTTATCTAGTCCACACATCCTCGTTTCCAGGGTGAGGTGGGCAGGAAGCAAGGACATGGACGCTGCCCAACGGCCTGGCCACCTGGGCACAGCTCAGCCCCTCCAGAAAGGCACTGCGATATGCTTAGGCCCATCAGACACAAAGCAACCGAAGGCCCCCATCTGGGGTGATAGTGGAGCCCCCCTCTCCTTGCCAGCTTACCAGCTTAAGGCCCATGCCTGGGGGAGGTCGGGCTCTACTAGTGAGACAAGAAGCCACAACACAGACCATCATCGTGAAACTGGGGCCTGGACTCTTTGTCTGTGCAGCTGCATGTTTCCCCTCTACTGCCCCCCCGGCAGTGTCCATCCACGTGCGTGCCCAGGGGGCTCTGAGGCCCTGAATGGAAGTGGCCTCAGAGTCTCCCAGGAGACTTGCTGCCGGCTCTGTGAAGCGGGCACCTACCACAGCTGGGCCCTGGACGTACTGCCCTGCCAGCCCTGTCCCGCCGGATTCAGTTGCCACCAGGGTGAGAGTGGGAAGCAGGGGGGCAGGGCTTGGGCCTCGAGTCGGAACTGGGCTGAGCCTGGTGGGGAGGACAGAGGTGGCAGGCGGAGAGGCCGGCAGAACCCTAGGGGTGTGCGGGGGACAGGCCTGTAGCTCAGACCCAACGAGGACACAGGTGAAGGAGGACTGGGAGCAGGGGGGCATCACATCTGTCCTGATGTTGGATGAAGACCTATGAATCAGACTGTGTACAGCACTGTACAAGCCACAGGGTGAAGCTGGAGCCCAGGAATAGGACACAGGCTGCCTAGCATCTGCCCCTGCCTTCACTATAGCCCATGGCTCAGAAACCCCTCCACTCCCCACAGGGACAGAGAACTACTACAGCCAGCCCTGCCCATTGGGGCACTACTGTCCTGCCGGGACCCCCAGCCCCAGGCCCTGCCCACCTGGAACCTTCCAGAATAGCAGCCAGGCGGGCAGAGTGGGAGAGTGCCTGCCCTGCCCCGCAGGCACCTTCAGCGCCCAGCCAGGCCAGGCAGGCTGCCTGCCCTGCGGGAGTTCTGCCTTCTCTCCACCAGGTGAGTCTCACAGGCAGCCAGCTGGCTGGCTGCCCTTGTCTGCACACAGGGACTCCAAACACACCAGGTCTCCTGTCCCTGCAGCTTTGAGGGTCAGTGGTGTAAGGTTTCAGGAAGCCACCTTAGCCCTGAGTGGAGTCGTGTGCATGGATGAGATGAGTCTGGGCGGTGACTTCAACACACAGACAGGGAGTAGGAGGAACACCCTCAGAGAGCCTGAGGGCCAGGCCTGCTCCAAAGGCCAGGATGGGGTGTTGGCTGGGACCCTGAGATTGCCTGGCTGGATCCTGATCCGGTGCTGCAGCTCCAAAGCCCTGCAGGGCATCAGAGGCAGAGCTGTGAGCCAGGGACCCCTTGCTGACCCCTTGCTGACCCCTTCACCTGCCTTCATTTCAAAGACGTGGCCTTCACATGGCTTTTGCTGTGTGACTCATTTGCTGGTCCTTTGTGCCAGCAGAAGATTTAATCAGACAATCCCACAGAGGGAAATTTAGGTCCCACGGGTCACACACATCTAGCCTCAATGGGGGCTCATTCCAGCCCTGCCCCGATGTGGGCTGATATCCACAGAGAAAGCCAGAAGACTTTACCTAGGATAGTAAAAAGAGCATAAATAATGAAAGTTAAGCCATGTTTGAGGATTAGAAGCCTCAATAAAATAAAGCTGTCAGCTCTCTCCCAAAGGATCTGTTGTTTCTCTGCAATCCAAGAGAAATTCCAGCAAGATCTTCATGGATGTGATCTGATTATTTGCAAATTCAAGGGCCACAAGTAGCTAAGGCAAACTTAAGAAGAAGAACAAAATAGGAGACATAGAGGTTCTATATTAAGATTTATTTTAAGGGCTTTCCAGATGGCGGTAGCGGTAAAGAACCCACCTGCTGATGTGGAAGACATAAGAGAACATGGGTTCGATCTCTGGATCAGGAAGATTCCCCTGGAGGAGAGTAAGGTAACCCACTCAGTCCATGGGATCCCAAAGAGATATGACTGAAGCAACTTAGCACACACACATATAATTAATTAACATTGTGCTTAGTTGTCAGTCGTGTCCTACTCTTTGCAACACTTTGGACTGTTGCCCTCAGGCTCCTCTGTACATGGGATTCTCCAGACAAGAATACTGGAGTGTGTCACCATTTCCTCCTCCAGGGGATCTTTCCAACCCAGGGATCAAACCTGCATCTCCTGTCTCCTGCACTGCAGGCAGATTCTTTACCTGCTAAGCCATCAGAGAATTAACTTTATTACTAGGTATTTGATACCTTTTGCTGTTATTGTAAACATTATTAGCTTTTAAATTTTCATCTTCTAATGTTTTATTTGTCTAAAGATGTCTCTTTTCAGCTTTAGCCTAAAACACATTTTAGCTAAGTGGGAAATTCTAGCTTGACAGTTATTTTCTTTCAGCATTTTAAAAATACAGTTCCGTTGCTTCTGGCTTTCTATTTCTGTTGAGAAGTCTTATATATGTGCCTTGTTTACTCTCTGAAAGTAATTTTCCTTTTTCTTGGGTGGTTTAAGATTTTCTCATTATCTTTGGTTTCTAGGAATGTACCTGAAGCTTTTTCCTGCAGTTTTTCTTTGTATTTATCCTATTTGAGTTTCTTCAGTACTTTTCAAGTAGTTGGATGTCTTTTAATTTTGTGACATTCTCAACCATTATGTTTGTTAATATTTTTAAGTATTTACTCTGTTTTGTCCTTTCTCCTTTCCTTTGGCTCTCAAATTATATGTTATCTCTTTTCACCATGCACATGTCTCTTGCACTATTTTCTGCATTTTTCATCTTTTATTTTCTCTTTCTGACATTCAATCTGGGTGGTTTTTTCAGACCTACATTCTACTTTATCTTCTCTTCAGCTCCACCTAGATGTGTACAACTCTTTGAGGCCCCATGGACTATTCAGCTCCATATACTATGCTATTAAATATTTCTAAAGATATTTTATTTTTTGCTATTGAATCTTTCAGTTCTAGAATTTCTGTTAGTTTTTTATAGTTCCCTGTTCCCCTGTGAAATTCTTCATCTCGTCATTTAATTTATCAAATATGCTAATCAGGGACTTCCCTGGCAGTCCAGTGGTTAAAACGCCATGCTTCCAAAGCAGGGATGTGGGTTCAACCCCTGGTCGAGGAGCTAATATCCCTCATGCCACTAGTTCTCAGCCCTGGCTGTACAATAAAGCCCTCTGGGCACTTGTTAAAAGGTAGCTGTTCTGCCCTCACCTCAGAGATTTTTATTTAATTAGTCTAAAGGGGACCCAGACATTGAAAGCTTTTAAACACTTTTAAAAGATGATTCTAATGTGAAGTCAGGGTTAAGATTTGGAAGATCTCATTCAACCCCTCGAAGACCCTCAAGGTCAGTACTTTGCAAAGGCAGGTCTCTATCCCCCACCTGGCTGTGTCTGGCTCCCTGCCAGGTGCCAGGGACTCCTCTCTCCCCAGGTGCCTCCCACTGCATGTGTCGGGGCCTGAACAGGGTCTTTCAGAAGTCGGACAGCTCCTGCATCTGCCAGGCAGGACACAAGTCCTACGATGATGAAGAGAGCAGCAGTGAGGAGGACTGTCAGCCCCAGGTAGCCCCAGGGCCTCAGTGGGTCAGGCAGAGGGAGGGGAACGCCATCCACACAGTCTCTCTGCCTGCCAGGGTGGGGATGACCTCCTGCGTAAGTGGGGAGACCTTGTGCTCTCTCCCTGTCATAAAACCACAGAGCCTCAGTTTTGCAAAGGGTCTTGGGAGTTGCCCCTGCAGTGGGTGACCATCCTGTGTGGTCCAGAGGGCTGGAGGAGGAACAGCGTCCCTCACGAGGCACAAAGCCCTGCTGGCAGCGAGACATGGGCACCCTCCCCTCACAGCCATCTCTGGAGGCTCTGGATCTGACTTGTTGTTCAGCCACTAAGTCATGTCCAATTCTTTGCAACCCCATGGATTGCAGAATGCCAGGCTGTTCTGTTCTTCACCATCTCCTGGAGTTTGCTCAAACTTGTGTCCACTGAGTCAGTTATTCTTCTTAAAAGACAGCAATCTCTTCATGGGGACACTTCACTCAACCAGCTCGTGGTACAGAAGCCTCTGTGCTGACCCTGGCTGACACCTCTGTGCTTACTATAGCTCAGTCAGTATATGAGACGACTGCCAGGACCCCAGGGCCACCTGCCCACCCGGGTCCGATGGCAACTCCAGCTCCAACTGGAACGCTGCTCTCTCACCACCTCCTCCCACCCATACCCTTCCTCAGGCAATTCTCCCTTCCCCGTGGAAGACCCTGCTCCTTGATAGGAGAACAGGTTGAGGCTGCTTTATCCCTACCAGATGGAAACAGGCACCAGCTCCGGCCATGGCTCCAGCCTGGCTGGCTTCCAGCATGCCCAGGAGCCCAAAATCATGTTCTCACTTTCCAGAGGTCCATCCCTGTCTGAGCTCCTCTCCCCTACCTTTTGTAGACTGTGTGCATAAGTTGCTTCGGTCATATCTGACTCTTTGGGACCCCATGGACTATAGCCCACCAGGCTCCTCTGTCCATGGGATTCTCCAGCCAGGAATACTGGAGTAGGTTCCCATTCCTTTCTCCAGGGAATCTTCCCAACTCAGTGACTGAGCCCATGTTCTCTTATGTCTCCTGCACTGGCAGGTGGGTCCTTTACCTCAAGCGCCACCTTGGAAGCTAGGGGTTCTCAAAATGTGATCTTGACTCTGACAGCATCAGCATTACCTGGAAATTTGTTAGAAATGCAAACATTCAAGCCCCACCCCAGACCCACTGACTCAGAAACTCCAGGAGTGGGACCCAACAAACTGGGTTTCCAGCAGCCCCCAAATAGATATGATATTCACTGAAGTTTGAAAACCGCTCACCAGCCTAGCTCCCGGGTCTTGCCCACGTCTGCGCTCAGCTGAGGGCCCTCAGCTTGGACGAGGAGCTGCTGTCTAAGGCCATCAGGGCGTCTGTCCTTCATGTCACCAACTGGCCAGCTCCTTGCTTGCCTACTCGGGCCTGAGAGGGCTGGTTCCCCGAGACACTGCACCGTCTCTGGAATGTTCTGCGGTGCCCCCAGGCTGCAGGTGCTGAGGTCAGGGACCTCCTCTCCCCCTCACAGGTCGTGGAGCGCTGTCTGCCTGGGGAAGTCCTCTTGGCTGCCACCCGCACCTGTGTGTCCCCCCGGCAGCACAACTGCTCTTCCTTCTGTCACCCGGCGGGAGGCCAGCTCAGCGCGAGGCTGGGCATGTGAGTATGACAAGCTGCTTAGACCACAGTGAAGCCACCACCCCAGGCAGGTCCTGACTGTCCCCAGAGGGCCCGTCCCAGAGGCATTGGCAGGACCCAGGTTGAGCCACATGCTACAAGCTCCTGCCAGAACGCCCCCTGTGTGCGCACCTCGAGCAGGGAGCCAGCCAGAGCGGTGGGGACAAGCAGCCGGGCTGAGGAGGTGCCAGAGCAGGGAAAGTGAGGTCCACACCCCAGGCCCCGGCCCCCAGTAACTGCCAGGAGCTGACCCAGATTGGACGCTGAGTCAAGGGGATCCTGATTTGGCCCCGAGTTCTAGACTGCCAGCTGACCTTTGCACTGGGTGGAGCAGGCAGTGGAGAGGAAGATAAACAAGAGAGTTCTGGCTGAACCATTGGCTCTTGCATCCCTCTTCCTGGCAGGAAGCCAAGCCAAAGTGCTGAGCCTTCCCACACCCCACCCCTAGGACAACATTTTCATCCCAAGCATGGCTCTCATCCTGGGAGATGCCCCAGCCAGTGCAGGAGCAGGGCATGAGCGTGTGTGGTCCAGTCACCTCAGGTTCCCCACGGAAAGCGCAGCCCCAGCTCAGGCAGCTCACATCCTTCTGAAGGGGCCCGCGTGGCCTCACACTACCTGAGACAGACCCCGTCCTCTCCCACAGCTGCCAGTGCCAGGAGTACGTCTCCGCAGAGGAGCTCTGTGATGCCCAGTGTCTGGCCAGGGTCGCCCAACTCTCCCTGGCCTCGGGGCCCAACAGGAATCTGATCCTCAGCATGAAGGACGAGGCTGCAGGCAGCATCCAGAGGGTGAGCCCAGCTCAAGGAAGGATTGGAATGGAAGGGCAGCTCTGCCCACTGGAAAAGGAAAGATGAAGCCGCCCAGGCCCGGCGGCTATAGAAAAATCAGGCGCCATCTAAAAAAGCCAGGATGTGGAAGAAATGCCCATCTGTGAACCAGCCCGCTCACCTGGTCCTTGGCTGCCTGGATGAATGTCCATCTGTGGCTACAGGGAAGGGCAGGCAGGAGGCAGTAGTGGTATTCCTCATGTCAGTGTCAACCATCCCATCTGAACGCCAGAGGGCCTTGGAAACCATTAGCTTCACATCCCAGTAGGCCCTCCACACGTCACAGAGATGGTGTGACCCTGCAGCCGCCCAACCAGAGTCTTGTCCAGCCCAGACCTCCAGCTACAGAGCAGGCCTGTCTCCTGGCCACCAGGGTGTGGCCCTGGCTCTCTTCAGGGACTTGAGATGGAGGATCACGGCCTGGACGCAGGTCTAGCTCACTCTGAATGCTTGTGCACCAGAAGTTCTAGACCACTGTGTCTGCTCACCACTGAAAAGGTCGGAAGGGTCATCTGGCCCAGGACTGGACAGCAGATGTGGGGTGATGGGGTGAGGTTTCCGAGTTTCTCTGTAAGTAGGACGTTTGCAGGTGGAGAGAAAAGAGAGGAAAAGGCCTGAGTTGAGTCAAGGGTATTTCCTGAAAACAAGAAAGAGCCCAGGTCAGGACGTCACCTGGGCAAGCTCAGTGAGGAAGGAGACATGTCCTGGGGGAGGTGGGGTGGGCACCACTGAGCCTCGTCGAGCCTCACCAGGGGCTGGTCTGGACTTCTGTCCATCCAACGCTGCAAGTTTCCCTGCCCCTCCCCCAAGGTGTTCAGTACTGTGCTTTGTCATTAGGAGGTAACACGCACACTGGGCCCAGACCCGTCCTTCCAGGGCAGTGCCAGGGTCCATCTCATCCTGTGCAGCCCCCACGGCCTCCTTGGCTTGCTCATCTCCAGCGGGGACACACTTGATGCCTTCCTCCTCGGTGAGCTTTCCCAGTGGGGATTGAAGGAGTGAGGGATCCCCCAGTCTGGCAGGGGTCACAGGTCATGTGGGAAGACGATCTTTTCTCCTTAAAGGGAATCTAGACCGGGGGGGTGGGGGCAGGGCACAAAGGTGGGTGTGGGACCCCCAGGCAGGCCCTGGTCCTCTAACTTTCCTCCCCTGAACTCTCCCAGGTCCACCTGTATCCAGCCCAAGGCGGCAGAGGCAACCTTGGACCCCAGGCCCAGGGCACCGTGCCCCCCAGGATCCCAGCATCCACCCCCACATTCCAAACCCAGTGGTCTGCCTGGCAGCAGGGGATGTGATTCTTTTCCAGCTTCACATTCTTCCCCACAGTGAGTCCCGCTCTGACTCTATCACCATTCCCCACCCAGGTGTCCAGTGATCTCACATACAGACCAGATTCACAGTAGTGAGTCACAGGCCAGGGCTGCGCTCTTGCTCTTGGCCTGACCGGTCATTTCACTGGGGCCTGGATTCCATATCTCAGACCTGCTATTCCAGCTCTGAATGGGGTTGCCAGACCTCTGCACCTTGGGAGGAGAAGGGTCTCACCAAGGTGACCTCTGACCTGTGCTCCAGCCCGTCTACAGAGCTGTCCTGTGCCGGGGTCAGACCCTACACCTGCTCAGTAGCCTGTCCATCTTGGATGCCTTGATTTAAAGATTGTCTTCCCCATAATGAGCTGAAGCCTGCCTCTCTGTGACACCCCTCCCCCACCACTGGACCCTCACAGCACAAGCCTGAGTGCTCCTCTGAAACAGCTTCACTGGTGGGAGAGGCTCAGCGTTCATCCTCCACGCAGTGAGCACTGGTCAGGCCCTCATTAGACTTGATTCCCTGTCGTTCTCCCACCTGGTGCTTCCCTGGGGGCTGCTGTGGGGCTGGGCACCCCACCTGCTCACACACACACACACACACACACACAATCACAACATCACTGACACGAAGTAGGTAGCCAATGAGACAGAGGTGGGAGGGCAGCCAGTGCCTGGCAGGCCTTTTTTTTCTTCTCCAGTAGGTTTTTTAAAAAATGGATTCCAAAAGCAAAAATATGGGGCAGAGAGCTCACAAATGTAAACTATCTTTCTAAGTGCTTTAGCAATCAGTATAGAGACAGCACACATTGAAGGTTCAAGAGGAGGTGTTTCTCCAGGCGTGGCTGAAGATCTCAGCGTTAATCAGATCTGAACAGAACAGGCACCCAGCCTGCGTAGAAGCAGACCAAGGGTTTGGTTTCACGTGTGGAGTAGCTGCCCAAGTTCCCTCACACAAAGCAGTGCGAGGGTGATAGGGCCAGAAAGGAAAAGGACTCAAGCAGAGTGAGCCCCAGCTTGGACATTTCCAAGCCCAGCTCACCCGTAATCCCATGGGCCTGGGTAGTCCTACCTCTCAACCTCAGTCTTCACCTCTGTGACATCTTGAGAGGCAGGAGACAGGCCTGGTCAGAGGGAGTGGCCAGACCCAGACCCGTGCTTCTGCCCATCTTCCCCGCTAACAGGAACTGAGCACTGGCTGTGTGCCTGCCCTGTGCCACCTGCCAGGGTTCAGAGGTGGACAGACCCCACCCCATAGGGCACCGGGCGTCCAGCTGTGCTCACCCCAGGGGGGCATCTCTCTCTGTGGGCTGAGAGGGAAGGGTCTCACCTGGCACCAGGTTTATTTCACAGGACAGCATCCTGGGGACAGGGTATGGGCTGCCCGGGGCTGCAATTTCAGAAGCCCCTGGAGCTCAGGCCGAGCGGCTCACTCCACAGATCGCTCAGCCAGTCACTACCCTATATACCAGACACAGCACCTGTTCAACAGCAACCCCCACTGGGACTTCGGGGCCTTCAGGCAGCTCGAACGCCTGGTGCAGGAGACCCGCCTCAGCTTCTCCAGGTGACTGTGGTGAGGCTACCTGGTTCCTAGAGTGCAGGTCACAGCCTCTCCAGGGTGGGCGCCAGGAGGGCACAGGGGAAAGTGGGGGCCTCAGACCATGTCAGGGGTGAGGGTCATGGGCAGCTTCCCTGGGCCACATTACTCTAGGGGGAACCCCTGCCACAGCTTGTGGCCCTCAGACTGTCCCCGTATTCTGGCCCTTCACCCCTAGGTTTGCTCACCAGTTTGTAGATCCAGGCACGTACGTGTTTCACGACAACGGGCTGCCCGAGAGCCTAGCCGTGGTGCTGGTGAAGGAGCAAGGGGTGGCCTGCGACCCGGGCCTGCCCCCTGTGCAGCCCTCCTCACCCTATCACCTTGCAAGGCATGGTGTCCTCAGGCACCAGCCGCCAAATCTGGGCCCAGACTGGGCGGCAATCTCAGGTACTGACCACAGAATGGAGGAGCAGGGTTGCAGGAGGTGGGGGACCAAGCTCCAGCCTGCAACCCTGGGCACAGCCTCGAAGACAACAAACTTGTCCTTGAAACCTGGCCTTCCTCTGCCAGGCAAGGAATATTGAAATTCCCTCCTGGGCCTCCTGTCTCAACCCCCTGCTCCTATGTGTCCTGGGGTCCCTGCCTCAGTGAGCAGGGTCCCTGAGTGGAAGTGTCCAGAGGTGCCTGTTCTTGCCTCCTCTGCAGGTCTCCCGCCTTCTTCCCTCCGTATTCATGAGCCAGGTCTGCTGTCCAGGCTGAGCCTGTCCAAGGGGCCGGGGGGAGACAGGCAGCCCATAGCAGCTGAGGCTCAAGGGCCTGGCCCTGGGGCAGCCAGAGGAGGGCGGAGCAGCAGCATCCCGGGAAGGCACCCCCACCCCACCCCCAAAGAATCCAGGGTGGAGGAGGACCCCTAGTAGGACGGTGACTGGGTTACCCCCAGAGGCAGGAGTGAGGGCTGTTGACAGGAGGCTCAGGAGGGTTAGGGCCCAGAGGCAGCAGGAAGAGAAAGTGGGGACTGCTGCTCTCACAGCTCCTCACCCACCCCCACCCCCGCAGGGGTGCTGCTGACTGTTGGCTTGGCAATCACGCTGCTGACCAGCCTGGGCTTTGTGCTGAGACCCTCCTCCATGGCCCAGGCCTGCCCTCTGAGGGCTCAGGGGCCTCGGTGGAGGGGCCTTGGGGAGCTTCTCATGCCCACAGAGCCTGTGCCCCTTGAGGACCGGTGAGTCCCCTCCTGCCAGCTCACCTCTCGTAGCCCCCGACCAGCCCGGGGCCAGCTATGTGCAGACTCTGAGGTTGCTGCTTCTCTTCAGCTTTCCATTCTCTGAGGACCTTGGTCCCTGGGGCTCCGAGAAAGGAGCTGATTCCTGGAGGAAAGCCACTGCCTGGGGCCCAGGTACAACCGCCCCACCCTCCTCCCCCTGCCCTCCCCCCAACCACACCAGGTGCACATGTGGGAAGCAGCTGGCTTTTCTACTGACAGTTAATGGCAATCCATGCCATCCCTCTGAGCCTTACCACAAAACCTAGAAATGGGCATTTGGAGAGTTGTTGTATTCCCATTTTCCAGACAGACTGAGGCCCCAGGAGGTGTGAGTGGCTCTCTGGACGCCCTCAGGTGGTGAGGTTGGAGAGCGGCCAGAGCTCTGGGTCCTCACTGTGCGGGTCAGGAGCTGGGCTGGGGGGACGACCCACCTGCCCATGTCAGCTCCTCTGCTGAGCCGGCCTCCCCTGCAGGCAGGCCTCCGCGCTCCTCTGCCCCTGCATCCTGCCTGCAGAGCCCCACGGGAGAAGGGAGCTGCTGAGCCCAGGGCCCCTTCCTGCAGGGAAGCCGCTTGCAGCCCACACCCTGGAGGACTTCAGCGTCCGCACACTCTACGACAAGCTGGAGGACCAGAGCCTGCATGTGGCGGCCCAGCTGAGCAGGCACAGGAGCGACGCACTGGCCTTCTACAGGGGCGCCAGCCTGCAGCTGCAGGGGCTCCAGGTTAGCCCCAGCCCCTGACAATTGGGACCACCACCTCTCCCACGTCTCCCCCGCACCTACCCACCCCAGGAACAGCCACCCTTCTGAGAATCGCCTGAGTTGAGACGGAGGGCCACACCCAATCTGAGAAGGTGACCCAGCCCTAGTTCCTCCAGGACCTCCTGCAGGGCCTCAGTGCAACAGAGCGGCCAGGGCTGGGCAAGGCTGGAGACCCAGAGACAGGGGGCAGGGCTGCTGCCAGGACATGCACGGGACAGAGCGCAGCCTCGTGGAGCAGCCGCAACACAGCGTCTCCTGGGGAGCCCGAGCAGCATCCACCAGGTGCGAGGCCAGTACCCAGGGGTGGGGCAGCAGGTGAAAACCTGTGATATCAAGGCCCAACAGTGTTTCACGTGGTTCATCCCACTCGGTGCCAAAACCAGAGAGCATCCAACCTGATCAAAGAAGATAGTCCTGGGCACAGTGCCAGGGAGAGACGCTCCCAGGTTGGGGGGCACTAGCATGAACAGGGGTCTGACAGAGGAAGGGGTCCGGTGCCACTCCCTGGGGCCACAAGGGCTCTGGAGCATAGCTTCCAACACTGTCCTCACAGTCCTGCACTGCGTGATGACTGTACTCACATCACCTCCACTAACCTGTTCAGTTGTCACAGGAAACCTATGAGTGGTATTACCATATTCCCATTGTATGGATAAGGAATTTGAGGCCTAAAGAGGCTAAAGGACCCTCCCAGCATCCACAGAGAGTGCACAGCTGGCCCAGAAGCCCACTCCCTGCTGCATAGGACTTATATGCCTCCACCTGCAGCTGACAGCATGCAGGAACATGCCTCATTAGACCCCACGAGCTCGCCAGTCACTACCAGACTTGGGCTCCGAGCCCAGCCACAGCCCCCATGGAGCTCCCTGGCCCTTTGGGGGAGGCAGGCAGTTCCTCAATGAAGTCTACTCCCTAGAAAGTAGTATGCAGGCTGAGGTCCAGGCAGCTGTGTCACTTTTTCCACGGTCAACATCCTCCAGGTTCCAACCCCAGGACAGGGGTGGAGTCAGGGTGCATGGCAGAGATGCCAGAAACCCTCCCTGGCAGATGCACGTTTGTGTGAGTGTGTATCAGTGTATGTGAGAGTTGTGAGTGTGGGGGGTGAGTGTATGTGTAAATGTATGTGGGTGTGTCAAGTGCATGTGTGAATTTGTGGGGCAGGGTGTATTTGTAAGTGTGTGGGTGTGTGTGAATGTGGGTGGGGTGTGGGTGAGTGTGCATGTGTGTGAGTGTGAGTGGGTGGGTTGGTGGGTGGGTGTGACTGTGTGTAAACGTTTGTGTGTAAGTGTGATTGTGCGAATATGTGGCCTGGAGGACCCTGGGGACTAAGCAATGACATCCAGAGCTTTCCTTGACCTTCCCTGCAAACAATCTCTGCTTAAACTCCTCATCTGTACCTTCTGGGCTGGGACATCTGGCCGAGTGATCACGAGGAGAAGGACAGAGAACACTTCCTCTGAAGTTTGCCTGAGACCAGTCATTGCCCTCTGTCCTGGGCACTGACGGAAGCTGGGTTAGAAGGCGGGTGCTACTGCAAGCTGAATGCTGGGGTTCCATTTTTCCTTTTTGTTGGCCAAATTTTCAAAAATAATACGTGACAAAGCATTAGCAAATCAAAAAAACAAAAAAACAAAATCTTTCTCTAACCCAGGAGAGTCACTGTGTGATTGGGAGGTGTGCAGCCACAGCGTGGGCCTGCTGGCCTGGGGCCCCGCACTACAGCAGGGTTCTGAGTTGGACAGAGGCATGAATACCAGAGGGGCAGATCTCTGAGTTTAGAAGAAGCTAGGAATGAGATGTACAGGAGGGGGATACCATCTGGACTCAAGGCAGCAGGATGCTTCCTCCAGGCTCCACCCCTGGGTGTCCAGCCAGTGTGGTGACCGCCTAGAGGAAAGGTGGGGTAAACACACCAACTCCATGAACAGGGAGGGGTGAGATGTCCGGCAGGGTGGCTGTGATGGATGAGGGGATGTCTGAAGGGTTCTCTGTGTTCTTCCCCCCAGGCTGCACCCCCAGTGTGTCCCCCCCAGGCTGTCATGTGGAGCTGGACCGAGCCATCGCGGCCCTGGCAGCCGCACTTTCTCAGGCGTGTGGGCCACCAACTGGGGCCCTGAGAAAGGTGAACACCCAGGGCAACCACAGCCTGACTGTGCAGACTCATTAGGCACACAGGAACACACGCGCACACACACACACACCCATACACTCATGTGTACATGTGCATAACACACACCATACACACTCACATGCATGTGCACACAGCACAGCCACACACACTCACACCCATACACTCATGTGTGCACCTGCATCACACACAGGCTCACAGGCACCTGGGCCTCACGCTCTGCAAGTGCCCCGCCCTTGCTCAGAACCCAGGGTACCAGGTCTGTGCTATGGGTGCTCCTGTTCCATTGCTTCTGAGCCTCCTCCTAGAAGCGTGTTGGAGACAATGCCCCCCATCTGTAGCTGACCTGGCCTCTGGCAGGACTCTCAAGAGGGGCCCGACGCCCAATTCTTGCTGAGGGCAGCGCGTCTGAGGGACTGAGGACTCAGAGGGCCTCTGGGTCCTCAGTGTGGCACCCCTGTGCAGCAGGGCAGAGTCCATTGTGCCCCACATGTCCCGGGGGGCCTGGGGTAACAGACAAGGGAGGCCACCACTCTCATCGGGGCTTAACTGACTCTAGGCAGCTACTTGGGGCCCCTAGGAGCACCCAGAAGTCAACAGTCAGGCTCCCCAGAGACATGGCATCCCACACTCAGGTCGGCACACCTGTTCAGGTCAAGTTAGCAATGATGTCCTAGTTCCTCACTGTTCTTTTCCAGGCCCAGAAATGGAGGAAAGTTACAGGACTGTCTGTCCTTTCCAAGGCCTCTGGTTGGGTTGGTGAACAGCCTGTCTCCACCTGTCAACAAGATGCTCAGTTGGTGAATGACATGCTCCCAGAGCCCCAGCCTCTGCCCTCCCCTGAGGAGCACCAAAGCCCAAGGTGGGCAGGCGTGGACACCCTAAGCCCCCTGGCACCGAGGTTCTTAATTTTCACCACCTGATTTAGAGCCTCAACCCATTCTGATCCAGCTACAAGTCTTTGGGGCTCCCTGCTCCTGATAGCCCCCATTGTTATGGCCACCCAGGTTTGCCAAGGGGTTGCCAGTTTGAGGACCTCATCAGAACTCATGTCACTCACTGGGGTTGTCCCCACCCATGGGAAAGAGGCCACATTCACTCCAGGTGACCCCAGACTTCATATTCCTGCCCCTCCTTCTGATTCTCCTTCCTCTAACTCCCATCTCTCTTCAGGTGGAGACCCACAGTCTCCTTTGTTCCTCCGAGTTGAGGAGAGGAAGTGGTAAAATCATTGACTGTGTTTACTGATACTGAGATAAGCACTTTGTCTGTTATCTGATCCTCACAACAACACTGTGAAGTGGTACTATCCTTTGGTTTAAAGGTGAGCTAGCTGAGGCTCAGAATGGTTATGTTACAGGAGGACCTGGAACTGCAGCCCAGGGCACCTGACTCTCAAACTTGCTCAGTCTGAATCCTCACCCCTCTAATCCCTGCACCAAAGTCACCATGGCCTGTCCTCCCAGAGACATCTCTCCTCTTGGCATCCTGACTGAAAGTCCTGGAGAGCTTATACAGATGATTGAAGTCTTCTGAAGGAAAGAGAAGAACCCAGACTCTCCTGTTCACATCACCAGGCTGGGGCCCCTAGAGGTCCAGGTTGCCAGAAAAAGAATCACAAAAAAGGAAAGGCAGATCAGGAGTCCAGAGACCTGAATCCCTGACTGGATTCTGCCCTGGACACTGGACATTGGGGATCGTGAGAAAATACCTTCCAGCAGCTCCATGAGGACCACCCAAGAGAATGTTTCAGTTCAGTTCATTTCAGGCCCTCAGTTGTGTGCAACTCTTTGCAACCCCATGGACTTCAGCAGGCTTCCCTGTCTATCACCAACTCCCAGAGCTTGCTCAAACTCATGTCCATTGAGTTGGTGATGCCATCCAACCATCTCATTCTCTGTCGACCCCTTCTCCTCCTGCCTTCAATCTTTCCCAGCATCAGGGTCTTTTCCAATGAGTCAGTTCTTCCCATCAGATGGCCAAAGTATTGAGTTTCAGCTTCAGCATCAGTCCTTTCAATGAATATTTAGGACTGATTTCCTTTCGGATGGACTGGTTGGATCTCCTTGCAGTCCAAGGGACTCTCAAGAGCCTTCTCCAACACCACAGTTCAAAAACATCGGTTCTTAAGCATTCAGCTTTTTTTATAGTCCAACTCTCATATCCATACATGACTACTGGAAAAAGCATAGCTTTGACTAGATGGACCTTTGTTGGCAAAGTAATGTCTCTGCTTTTTAATATGCTATCTAGGTTGGTCATAGCTTTTCTTCCAAGGGGCAAGCGTCTTTTAATTTCATGGCTGCAGTCAGCATCTGCAGTGATTTTGGAGCCCAAGAAAATAAAGTCTGTCACTGTTTCCATTGTTTCCCCATCTATTTGCCATGAAGTGATGGGACCGGATGCCATGATCTTAGTTTTTTGAATGTTTAGTTTTAAGCCAACTTCTTCACTCTCCTCTTTCACTTTTATCAAGGGGCTCTTTATTTCTTCTTCACTTTCTGCCATAAGGGTAGTGTCATCTGCATATCTCAGGTTATTGATATTTCTCCCAGCAATCTTGATTCCAGCTTGTGCTTCAACCAAACCGGCATTTCTCATGATGTGCTCTTCACAGAAGTTAAATCAGCAGGGTGACAATATACAGTCTTGAGGTTCTCCTTTCCCAATTTGTAACCAGTCCGTTGTTCCATGTCAGAAGAATGTTTACTGCTGCCTTTGACGCAGGGCTGAAGGAGTCCAGAAGAACAAGTGATTATAATGAAAGACTTCTAGAAATTTAAAGACATTTGTAAAGATCAGGAAAGATAAGATAGGCTTTAAATAAGGGTGGTCCTAGCAGCAGGTGTTGGGGAAGGGTCTTCCTGGAGGACAGCAGTGTTGACTGAGACCTGAGATGATAGTGAGAGCACTCAGGTCTGGCTTGAGACCCGAGGCCCATCCCCAAAGCTCAAAAGCTCCCTGGACACTGTCCAGCCATCTTGCCTCAAGGTGTGAAAACTGAGATCTGGAATTGAGTGGCCCAAGGGGACTCTGAAGAAGACATCCATGTATGGACCAGGCTTGTAGCAGGAAACAGATGGAGAATTTGAGAACAGCATAATAAAGGAGACGTATGAGGGTGTGCAGGTCCAGGCACCTACATGGACAAGCACAGGCCTCCTCCTGGGCTGGTAAGGCAACAGCAGATGGCAGTCCCTGGACCCAGGAGAGCACGTTGCCAGACAGGGCACAGCCAGCTGATGCAGGGGAGGGAAAATCTTTTTCCTCTACCCATCTCAGGTTCTCACACAGGCAACAAGAGAAAACGGAAGCTCATTCACGGGTCCACAACCCATGTGTGGGGCCCTCAGTGCAGGATAACTTGAAGGGGAGGTTGGAACTGTGGTAACTCTAAGAACCTTAATGAGATGACAACACATTTTAGAGAAGTGACATGAAAACAGTAAAGGACTTTGGGTTTCTAGGGCCGCAGATCTTGGGATGGTAGATACAGGGGAGTGTCATGGTTGGGGGGACTAGTGTCTATGTAAATTCCTCTGGAGGTATCTCTGGGCTGGTGAAGGTCTAGGGTGCCTCCAGTGATTACCCTCTGAGCCTCCTGGTAAAGAGGGGAAGGGACCCCTTCAAAAGGTAAGTCCTGTTTTTAGGCAGATATGAGAAGGCAGAGAGATTTTCTTATCTCAGTGTGCCTCCTTGACATGTGCTGGACGTGAATTGTGCTCCTGGCATTGAGAAGTCACCACCCGTGGGCAGGGAAGGCTGCCTGGGTCCTGTCATCCAGCTTCAGGGGACCTATGTGTGTGTCCTTCATGTTTAAGTCTCCTATCTCGTCTTTCCCTAATCTCAGACTCCCTGCGGAGATGTTAAACACGGCCGAGGGGGTGGACCACCAGCAGTAGAGGCCTGAGAGGGTGCCTCTCATCCCTCTTTTTCTCAGCCCCCAGAGGCAGCCAAGAGCTGGATGGCACCCGCGGGATGACGTCAAAGGAGGAGGCCCTGTGAGCCCTGCCCCCGCGCACAGCCAGGGAGCCCTTCCTGAGCTGCAGGTAGGGGCCGGGCAGCGTGGGGAGGGGCACAGCCCAGCAACATGGGATGATGTAGGGAAACCGCCCACCCTCCAGCCTGCTTGTCACACACTGTGTACGACTCTGGGACACAAGAAATTAGAATTGGAGAATACTAGTCAAGAGTCAGACATGACTGAACAACTTCACTTTCACTTTTCACTTTTATGCATTGGAGAAGGAAATGGCAACCCACTCCAGTGTTCTTGCCTGGAGAATCCCAGGGATGCGGTCGCACAGAGTCGGACACGACTGAAGTGACTTAGCAGTAGCAGCAGTCAAGAAAAGCATTCTTTCAATCAACAAGTATTCATTGATTTCTACAATATTCACAAGGGCAACAGGTGAAGGTTTAAAAGAATTTTCAAAACAATGGGGGAAAAAATCCCAAAGGTAAGGTATGATCACATAATAACATTAAACCTCTAGGTCAAAATGTTACCATTAGTAGACACTTTTACTCTTTTAGAAAAAAATGTGCAAATGGCCTTAGAGAAAGGTAACACAAACAAGTAAATTGTATTAGAATGTTCAAAGAATCAGAAAAAAAATATTAATAAACTAAATACCCTTTTTTATCTACCTAAAATATCTGACCAAGTTCAGTTCAGTTCAATCGCTCAGTCGTGTCTGACTCTTTGCGACCCATGGACTGCAGCATGACAGGCCTCCCTGTCCATCACCAACTCCCGGAGTTTACTCAAACTCATGTTCATTGAGTCGGTGATACCAGTCTGACTAAAGTACTAAGTAATTGTGAGGAATAAAGAAATAAACACTCTCATATTCCACTGGTTGAAGAGTACAAAATTTAAACCTTTCAGGAAAGCATTGGGCAAAACTCAGCTACAAAATCATCTCTGCCTATAAGAGTGTCTGAGATAAGCAATTTTTAATCAGAAACCACTCACTCTCCCAAAAAATAAATAAGAAAGTCTCTGCCATTGTAGCCACAATTAGCACACAAGGCCCTTCACAGCCTGCTGTCCCCAGCCACCACTTCTATGTCTCCAGCATCATCTCTGTCAACTTTTGCAAACAAATTATTAATGCATGCTACCACAAAACTGAACTTTGACTACTTCCCACACCAAGCTGAACATCTTGGGTAACATTTGTCACTGGTAATTCCTTGTTCTATGTTTGCCTTTCCTTATAGACTACAAACCTCATGGGAGTTCACTAATGGGGTTCCATAATCAACAATTGGCTTGACACATAATGGGTGTTCAATAAATCTGTCTTTATCTATGAATGGATGGACATACAAATGGATGGATGAATGGATCCATGTATGAATGCACTGATGGATAGATGCATGGATGGATGCATAGATGAATGGATGGATGAGTGGATGGAAAGAAGCATGGATGGAACTGGGTGAACTGAGAGACAGATGAAAGTTTCTTGTGCTCTTATATATATATATATATCTCTGTGTTTCCACCTATGCTGTTGCCTTTGCCTAGCATGCCCTACTTCAGCTGTCCTCCCAGTTAATTCCTTTGTGTTAACATTCAGTTGCCTTGTCTCCCGTCTTCCAGAGAGCTCTCACTGATTGCAACTGCCTGTGTTAGGCCTCCGGCTTTTTGCTCCTGTAGGCCCTGCACATCCCTCCACACAGTTCTCACTACACCAGACTATAGGCCTGCATTCCCTTTTCTTTAAGTGCTGAGCTCTTCAAGAGCAGATGTTTCTCATCTCCACATGTCCAGCATTGATGCCCCCACCTGTCATGGAGAAGCTCAATGGGTTTTTAGTGAAATTAGAATAAAAGGGACAGTAATGAGGACTGTATGTGCCTTGTTTCTAGAGGAAGATACAGCAGTTGGAAGACAATTTGGATGAGCTGAATGAGGAATTCTTCCAGCTCACTGCTCAAGCCTTAACGCTCCAGAAAAAAGAGGACAGAAGAGGCCAACTGCCACCTAGCAAAGGCAATCTGTGTGTGGTAAGCCCATGAGACCACCACCTCAGCTCCTGAGGTGTCCACAGACAGCTGGGTCTCATGATATGGGGCCCACAGGGTGACAGTGTCTTCCATAGAAAGGTGTTCAGAACAGAACAACCAGCTCAGACCAGAAGGCCCACCAGTTTTGCCTGTTGTGTTTGGCAGATAGAGGGCTCACCCTGGGGGTCAATGCTACATGTATAGGCAGGGGAGCATGTCGGCCACCTTTCATTTTCAGGTCTCTAAGTAAATTGATGGCATGGAAAGACTGGGGAAGGGGATGAAAGGTTACAGTGGAAATATTAATAGCTTTTCCAGCTGTGGCCTAAACAAAGAGTTTTCTGTGAGATGCACTCCCATCCCAGCTCAGTCCCTGGAGGTATAGATCTGGCAAAGCTGGAGGGGCACAGGCATGAGACACAGTGCCAACTCAGCTGTGTCTGCACTGACCTCGTCGCTAAAGCAACACCAGCTTGCAGGCCTCGAGTGGACAGCTAGATTCCTGATGCTGTGTTAGAATACTCTTTCTCCTGACCTGAGGTTTTGGTGTCCCTTTGACTTTTACGTCCCAAGCCCAGTGCCTCCTCCATGTCCCCCTAGTTCCCATCTTGCTGAGTTGCTGAAGACAGGCAATGCCATGGGTTGCAAGGGGTGCAAGGTTATGCACCCCTGTCACCAGGCTTCAGTGCCCAGAAACACTGCTTACCAAGGCCTCCCTCTTCACAACCAAGGAGGTCATGCCTCCAGGAGCAACCCCAGGAGCCAAGATGCTCCTTATGTACAGACCTCCTGCCTGAGTCTGGATGTTGGGGGGTGTCTAGAAAATGGGTTCTTCTCAGTCAAGCTGTCCTCTCAAGACCAAAGCACAAGAAAGGACATCTGTGCTCACAAACAAGCAAGGGAAAATTTATCTTGTGTGCACACAAGGCACAGTGCGTCATGTCACAGTCACAAAACCCACAGACCCTGCCAGCGGCTCCAGAGAAGCCCAAATGCAGACGGAACTCTGGGTCCCCCACCCAGTGTGCCTGTCACTCTTCCCCTGAACACAGCCAGACCCCTCCCAAGAGACCAAGTAAGCTGGAGGGCTGGTTCCTGGGAGCAGCCATGCGACGAGGTGCAGGCACCCAGCACCGCTGCACTGAGGGGCTCAGGTGACAGCGGTTTATGAGAATAAAGAAACTGGAGATTTTCATGCTTAAAGAGACATTGTGTTAATATCCCTGGCATGCGGGGAGCCAGCCTGACTCCTCAGGCTCCTTCTTGGCCCTGAGAGAGATCAAGAGGTCCCTCTCTGTCCCACCACCCCTGATTTATTAAAAAGTGCAGGTTGGCCTTTCTCACCTCCCTCAAGGAAATTGCTGTAGCGACCTTTTACCCATTTTCCTGATGAGATTGTCAGGCTCCTGTGTATGGTTTACGTCTAGGTAATCTTTAGATAATCTTTAACTGATTGTAATCATGATAATCTTTAACTGATTGTAATCATACTAAGACGCCAGTCCCTTGCTCTGATAGTCTTAAAGAGTTGAGATAAAATTCCTGAGCGAAGACTAATGCCTGCGATTCTGCACGTATACATGTCCTTGATCTAAATTTAGTTAGTCCTGTTAGCATATATATGTATGTTACCCCTCAATAAAGTTGTCGGTTGTCGGTTTCAGTCGAGAGCTGACTCCGTCCCTCTCAACCCCATCTTTCCGAGTCTTTATTTCTTAGGTATTTCGGCGATTGCGCCCGTGACCGGTTCGTTTGCCGGCAGGCACCGGCACTGGCATTAAAGAAGGGACAAACAGGATGAGCTGAGGGGCTATGAAAAGATTTAATTATTCAATAATTGTTCCAAATTATTAAACGTGATGATTGTGTAATGAAATAATTAATTGTTGTTGTGCGTGAATGAGGCAACGTAAATGCAGGGGACACTGTGTTTTTCTTCGTTAAGCATGAGGCCAGTTCCTGGACATAGCCTGTTGGCGTCTTCCCCAGGGTTCAGCTGGGTGTTGCCTGGAATCTGTCAGAGCGACCAGGGTCACAGCAGGTTACAGGGTGGGCTCAGGGCTTGCAGAGTTCCATCTCCTCCTCCATTCGTGTTCTTTCCAGGTGGTTCCCAGGATCTGCCCCTCTGAGCAGCATGAAGACAGACCCCGCCAGGGAGAGTCAGGCATCCCCCATGGAAAGAACCTGGGACCCTGGGCCCTGCAGAGCAGCCAGGCCCTGGCACTGGAGGCCAGGAGAGCCTGGGTGGCCCGCAGGGCAGAAGAGCTGGAGTGGGAGCTGTCCTTGCTCGTCCAGGTGGTGGCTGGCAGCCGGCCGAGCCTGGGGAGGTGCTGAATCAGAAGGGGCCAGGCACCTTCTCCATGAGCTTGGCCAGGCACCTCTGCTGTCTGCTGGCAGGAAGGGGGCGTGTGTGCTCAACTTTGGGACCTGCTCCTTCAAAGCCCAGCAGGCAGCCTGTGCTGGTTTCTGCCTGTGATCCTTGGGGTGAAAGAAAATAAAGTCTCACAGGTGAGAAATCGGTGTGTGTTCTCATCACTGAGCCTGCCCCTCAAATCTCTGTGGTCCAGGCCAAATGCCCCCCAAAAGCCTCATCTGGGGCCCTGGCTTCAGGGGAGGAGAACACAGGTGCAGCTGCTGCACAGAACCTTCCTTGCTGCTGTGTCCTTGCCGGGAGCCCCAAGGATTGATGGTGTTCCCTTCCTGGCGCCAGTGCCGTTCAGGCCAGGGGAGCAGTCACGCCAACCCTGAGGGCCTCCAGCACCAGAGGAGACTCGGCCATGCCCTCAGGGTTAACAGAAGAGTGTGTCTGATGGAGCAGCAGATAAGGAGACAGCTACTAGAAACTCATCTGTTTGTGACATGCCCTTACTGATTAAGCCTGCTTTCACTGTTACCCCTTTTTTCCAGTTGTACACCCTTCAAGCCAAGGTAATGTATCACCAGGCTGCTTAACCACCCCTGGGAAGGAGGCTTCTGACGTAGGGGTCACTACAGTGATGGGGGCCCAAGCTGTTTTCAGAAACTTGGAGTAGGCTCTGGGCAGTGCTGACTGGCTAAGACTAGCTAGGACCAGCCAGTCTAAACCTGGGCGCGTGCAGAACACAGACTACCTCACCTCTCCTCTCCCTCCATGCCTCTGCCCTACAGCTGAGACCTGCCAGCTATTTTACCCGATCGATATCTCAGCTCCCTCATCTTCTGAGAGGCAGATCTGAAGTGTGGTCTTCCTTCTCCTAGCCTCTCTTCTAGGTTGTAGCTTCCTTAGAGGCAGAGTATCTATCTCTCTCTCTCTCTCTTTCACACACACATACACACACACACACACACACACACACACACACACACACACACACATACACACACACCACTCAGCACACTGCTTCTCACGTACAAGGCATCAGGTAACCCACACATGCTTCCTGCATGTAACTGACCTTAGGGATACAGACTAACCCTGAGAACACATGGTCACATCAGGGCCACACCACACCTGGAAGCCATGCAGAATCACTAGTGCTAGCTTCAGGGACAGACGGGGAGACGCTCAGAGGGGCGGGACATGGACCTCCAGGGTTGGACCCCTGGGACAACTCTTGGGAGGGCTGGAACTTGACCCAAGCCTTCAAGGGTATGAAATGTAGATGCTTGGAAAGAGCCAGGGGGAAGAGAGAGCATTTCAGGCCTAGTAGCCTCAGGGATTGATGTAGGTGACCCCAGGTGACCTAGAAATGCCATTTCCACCACCCTCAAACACCTAAACACAGCCCAGACATGTGAGTGTGCATGTGTGTGTGTGTGTGTGTTAGAGTGGACCCAGGCCTGCAGGTGAGATGTGAGGAAGAAAAGTGACCCCCACGGTGGGGTGGGGAGCTGCTCCCACCTGTGGGTCTGAAAGATCAGCTGGAGAAGGAGGCATGTCCACCCAGACCTGAGTCCACGGCCACCTCTTGTGGGTCCTAAATCAACCATCAGGGCAGTCAGACACTTAGCAAAGTGGACTCCAGCCTCTATTCACAGAGGGAGCCCCAAGGAGGAGCAGCCTCCATTCACAGAAGAGACCCCAAGGGGATCAGGTGGCCCAGGTCTTCAGGATGCTAGGCCTGGACTTGATCTGGGCCAATGACAGTGAGAGGCCCAGGGACAAAGGTCCCCACAGGGTGGCCTGGGAAAGTTGGGGCCCCCAGGGCTGTCCTCATGTGTCTGGAGGACAGTGACCCCCTGAGTGTCAGAGTGGAGGGGTAAGCATATCGCAGGAGAATTGCCAGGAATTGTTGGAAGGCAGCTTCTGAGTGTGGGAGCTGGAGCATCTGTGTTTCTAACAAGCTCCAGCTGAGACGCTCAGGCTGTTCGTCCGTGGTCCCCAATTGGAGTCAAGGCTATAGGAGAATGTGGCCTCCAGCGCTGGGAGGGCCAGGAGGCATGGATTTCATTTGTTCCTAAGTTTGAGCAGCTACTCGACACCCAAGTCCAGAACAGGCCGTGCCTGTGAGCCTGGAGCTCAGGTGGCACAAGCCCCCACAAGCCCCCCGTCTCTGAGCCCATGCAGCCCATGAAGTACCCTGAGGTACCCCTCAATAAGGGCTCTCTGGAAGGTGAAGGCTGGGCCAAGAGCTCTCAGGGCGCTGCCTCACAAGACCACACAATGGGGGACACCAGTTCCATTCAACACACAAGAAAGGACAGCTGCAGCCACTGCCAAGTGGCAGGATTCATGTTCAGACCAGGTCTATCCAACAACAGAGCCCAGGCTCTTAACCACCATGTTACAGCGACTCTACTGAGGGTTTCACAGCTGCTGGAGCCCACCCGCAAGGGCAACGGGCAGCCCGCTCTCACCCACAGGCCTGGACCACAGGGCCCCAAAGCTGCACCTCAGAAATATGAACATTCTGTGCCAGCATCGAAGGGCCTATAGGGATTCACTTTCACTTTCTAAATATGATTTCTCAACCGTTTCTAAGATAAAAATTAAGAAAATACATTCAAAGATATAACAATCA